GAAAATAACACACAATTTGAATCATAAAAATGAAATGATTATGGATTTATCAATCTGAAAAAAGAATATCACACAAAGATAATTGCAAAAAAGAAATGTCTAATGTTGCCAGCAAAAGATGATGGAACATTAAGCAGAATTTGGAGCCAAATCTGCAGTCAACAAGAGTGTGTCTTTTGCCTTTCAATTGATAGCTAGAAGCATCTAACCCCTTAAGAGATTCAAACTGGGTACTTGTATTGACATTGCCTTTGATAAATTTGGACAAATCACTAACACTAGCTACAAGCTAAAAAAATTTACTCTACTGTCCAAATTAAATTCAAAAGAAAGATGACAATTCTATTTTAAAGTTTTCAACATAATAAATTAATATAAGGATAGAGATGAGAAGGTCATAACTGCATGAAAATTATAGCTCATTGAGCTTATAGAGTTAACAAATTCCCCTTAGCTAATAAAATAATCTTCACGCCTGCTCAATTTACAAAGTTTTAATATGATTATTAAATATAACTTAATATTTACTTGTGTATTTCTGCTTCATTTTCCATTTCCAAGAGGGCACTTTCCCATGAAGATTTGAGAGTCCTGCAAAGGTAATTACAGATAATGAAAGTTTGGTGCATGAATTAAGATAATAAAAAAGTTGGCATTGTAAAAATAGGACTACTTGGCTCGCCAAGACCTATTACACAGCACCAAATCACACTTCCTGATCATGAGTTGGTCTTTACAATGATCTAGCCTATTAATGGGATTTATTTATTAAAAGTAACAATTAAGAAATATTTTAGGAGTTCACAGTTCTTTTTCCATTTTGACAATTATAGTTCACAACATTTCCTTTTACCCCAATGCATCCTTTGATGTTTTCTGTGCCTTGGCTGCCAACTTGGTTAAGCTTTCAGCATATGTCTGTTCAATTTTTGCCCTGGAATAAACAGAGGTTTTTGTTAAAAGATTTCAAATCAGATTTGCAACAAAATACAATTCAGAACATTTAGCATGGAGAGTGTAGAAATAAATTTGAGTTTGATGAGAAAATGCGGTAATAAAGGGCAGACTGTAAACCACTAATCCAAATTTAAAGACAGCTTTGACATCAATTTTTTTTTAACTGCTCCTCTCCTTTGTCAATGCAGAGTTTTCATCCAGAATAACACTACTCCCTAACTCCTAAAACACAATACCAGGAAAAAAATTGAGACAACTAAATTTTGCAGTGTTATTGGAAAATTTGTCAAGCAGTGTTCAGCAGTCATATAACAAGTTGTAACATTTTTATAAATTAGTTTCTATGGTGTGAAAACAGAGTGAGATAATCATTTTCATTTTCACTGTTTCCTTCTGTAATAGCTTGCCTCTTTGTCTTTGATCACCTGGATCTTAATTAGCCATGAGGTCAGCCATGCTGCTTACTCCAAAGACAAGGGATGTAACCAGTGGTTTCGTATGTCAAGAAATATTACACAAAATGTCTTTTCTCTGGTGACCAATATTATATTTCTGATAACCACTCTGTGATTTCAGTTTGCCACCAATTTTTAAAAAGTTCAGCTGGGAGTGTTGAATTACATGAAATATGATTCAAAAGCTAATATTGATCAAGAGTTACTTAGAAAATGGTATTAGGTACCTATTTATCTTGTTATTTCCTGACTATAATCTTAATGGATGTTAGTTGAAAGAATGAAAATCTAAGGTTATTTAAGTATTCACAACAATATTACCTTCTTTACCAAACTATCTGATTTAGCTTCATTGATACTAGTGAGTAGAATCTCTTTCCTTTCATTGTTTTAAATTGATTTTGTGAGATACAATGTTTACCAGATTGAGTCTCTATCTGAAACAAGCTTTTCCCATATATATTGAGGCATTTTAAGGTGACGAAGAGGGGTGCATTGGGATTTTTGGTTTTGCAGTTTTAGCTTAAGTAGTAAAAGAAATCTCCCTTTTTCATTCTGAAAAAATGGATTAATGTCAGAATGCAGGAAATGCCACTTGAAAGAAACTAAATTTGGAAAAATTACCTGGGGAGGCATGCCCCAGGTAATTTTAGAGGCTTGCAACTTTGGCACTAAAATAAACTCCCTATTTCCCCTCAAAAGGGGTTGGAATATCTGATAAAGTTAATTATCTGTCATACAGTCATGTTATCACACTACTATCACATGGAAAATATTTTACACATGCCTTTAACATGATCACACATAAGCACAATTGCAACAAGGCATGTTATCAAAATCCTGGCAGTTCATGAATAATTTTATGTTATTACTATGTAACCAATTCTGTCATCATTAATATTTACGAGGGAGGGAGAAATGAAGGAAGTATTGCATCTAACCACCATGTACAAACTGAAAAACAAATCAAAGCAATAGAAATCCAAGTTCGTTGTTTGTAACACCAACATGGAAATTGCAAATGAAACTAACTCAACAGCAAACACAGAAAGACAAAACTCACACGGCCAGTGTGCATGTCTCGCCGTGGAAAATACTTGGAAGTGCTGCATATCGAGTTGAAAAACAGCTGCAGGTATGTTTATAGACATTTTGAGCTCAATTATAAAACCAGATTCTTAGGATTTTGCTTACATGCATTGGAAGCTTAGGTGAGGCCACTAAAAAGCTGAAAGATCCGACTAGAAACCAATACAGTTATATGAAAATTTATTTGTCCCCCTCTATGCTTATTAACGTTACAACATAACTTACCTCTCGTTGAAAATTGAAGAAACTTCGCGGGAAAAGTCATTTCCTTGCCGGCAAACCTTCCGTAATTCTTCGTACCCTTTCTGTTCCTGAATACAAACAAAGACAATAATTATTGTTTCCCGTAAACAGGTAAACGGGAAATCAAAATTATGACGTCCATATATGCGGTAAATAACGTTAGATTTTAAAACATTTTGTGCTCCTTATAAAACAAATACGATCTAAAAGTGATACTCACCCAGAAGGAATTTTCAAACCTAGTCATGTTTGATTCCTGAAGGCTCAAAGTTCCCTCAAGGAAGTTGATGTTTCTCAAAAAGACCTATTAGTTCTAAAAAAAGCTCATCGAAACTCAACTGCTGTGACATTTTTCCCAGGGGTCTCTGCTTCGGTCCTGTAATTGTTTTGGGTGGGGTGGGGTTTAAGAAAGACTGAATGCGAGGCTTTGTACACAGTGCTAGGTGGGAGGGGCGGGTAAGGATTTTCCACTGTCAGGAAATTTCAAGAGGGCGGAAATTTTCACGACGCAAGTTGCTGCGGTTTTCTGAGAAAAGGAAGGAAAAAGCACTCAAAGTCAGGTTGTTTTGGAGTAATTTACGAGGTATGAAACAAAACTATTATAATTTCATCCTCTTTTCCTTGTCGCCCCTTCAACAAATGTATAAAATTTCCGAACAAATGATGGCTCACGCTTCATTATTTGGTGACAGCGAACCAACACGAGACCTTTTTCTGATCTACAATGAGTTTTTTAACACCTGACACAGTCGACGCTCTCTTTGAAAATCACGGTTTAATATTAAGAGGGAAATGATGGATTTGCCATCGATCGATCCTCTGACTGAAAAAAAAAATATTTACTCGAAGTAATGCATGTCTGCCAAATTTTCAGAAATTTTCGGTAACAGGGCGCAGATCACAACTCAATGAGGTTGTCCGACTTCTCATAAAATAATCTCCAATTATATAACAAGTTTCAACATGGATCCAGAACATACTGCTTTATTGGGTTGACGTTATTGATCGAAAGTAAACTTATGCATATAAATTTTTTTAAAACACCAAACTTGCATAACTCAAAATAACTAATGCCAAACATCATCAACAGTTTATTATGCACGATAATTAATAATATCAGAATGTTAAGTGTAACTTATCCAACAAGTATATTGATAAAACACTGTTGTTTGTGCTCCAATTTTCACATACGCCAAGTAATAAATTACAATATATAAATTTAATGTTATTTATACTTTATTCTTGAACTCAGACTCTTTACACTCACTTACAAAAGACAAATATTTGAATAATATATTGTGCAATCAAAGACAAACATACTGCCATCTTGACTCAATCGTCAAATACAAACAACCATTGACAGTAGTTTGGAGGAAAGGATATTTTGTAGGGGTGAATCCCCTCCCGCATAGATAACTTACAATATGACTTTGTTTTTGAGAGTTCTCCTATACCTCCCCTTAAATTTGCCTTTCGCATTTAAGTTATCTTAACATGCATCAAGGATGCAATTAAGTTCTTTCTTTACATGCATCAAGGATAACAGTTGATTCTTTTATTATCACACAAAAATCTACACAATCATGATCATAATTTTTAAATGTATGGAGGATTAAATAAAGTTCAACAAAAAAAACCTTGAGCATTACTTATAATTCATGTATAAGGGATTCATATGGAATAAGCTGATACATTCTAGCCTCCAGTTATTGATTAATTGGAAAACACCCCAACACAACCTAAATTCTAGGCCTCTGACATAATCTAAAGATGCAATCTGGCACTACTGATATCCATTCAAACTGTGTTAATTGTGAAATCCACATAAAATCTCAAAATTCACCAAATAATGCATAGTCTGGTTAAATTTACCAGCTGATTAATGCAGGGTCTCTAAAACTTGAAATCATGTTTTGTTAGGTTTTACACTTATCATAACAACTCTATCCAGGAGGTTTCCCTAACAGCTGATTATAGGTGGTCTCCTGTCATTATTATTTGTAGAGAATTTATTTTTAAGGTTTGTTCTACAAAAACAATAAAGATTCACACTATCGAACCATCAGTAGTCCTCTATGAAAAAGTTAATTACAACCCATGTCTATTACAATCTTCAGTAAGAAAATCTGGTCATTTGCTTCATAATTAAGGTTTCTCTTGCATAATTTAGCCCTAAAAAAACCTACACAGTTTTTTTTTGCACAATATGAAAGATTGTAGAATTACTAATGAGTCTAAACATGAGATTAAGGTGACTCAAATTCCACTAACAGCATTTGCAAGCTCTATGCTGGTGAAGACAATGCCAAGAACCCCACAGATGATGCCAAAAACTATCACATAAACCCTGGCTATGATGTTGTACCATCTCAGCTCTTTCCATTTCAGAACGATGTGAAAAACACAGGGGAATATAAAACAAAGACATGTACCTGTAAAACTTCCAACCAAACCCATGAATAAGCCAAAATGAGGCACAATAATGGCCATGAAGAGGCCAAAGGATAAGACAAGTGGGCGTGACAGCAAGATCCATACCCAGTGATACTTTGTCTCTCGCTCCAGGTGGGGGAAGTATGGTAGGAGTTTGTGATCAACAGTTTCCAACACTATGTAGCTTACAATGGGGAAAGCTGTAAACACATTGGTCACAACCAAAGCATTAGCCAGAATGTAGAAAGCCTGATCGGTCTTGAGGTTGACAGTGATAGCCTGGTTTGTGTCCTCTCCAAATCGCAGCACAGGAAGGAGGCCAAATGCCACTTTCACAATTGCAGCCAGTAGAAAAGCCACATTCATCATCATGGGGTACTGTTCAGGGCGTCGCATACTTCCCTCTACCCCTGGGAAGACAGCATGAGCTGTATAACTGAAGACAATGACACCAAACCCAATGGGGAATTTCCTAATGTCAAATCCAGGAACTTTGTTAATAGACATGTCCTTGTACTCTGTTATGGAATATATGATGATTGTCATGATCGATGACATCAGTGCAAAGACGGATATCATGCTGATCCAAGCAATGACTGACACACGGCGTAGGAAGAAGCCTGGGAGAGCAATGCAGGCACAGATGGAGGACCATGTGTAGATATCAAAATTCAATGGTTTATACTTGCTCAGGATATCGCTAAATATGGTACCAAGCAGAACAAGGTAAGAAATTACCCCTCCAAACATCTCACAGAACTGTACCACGCTCACAATCCGGTTCCCCCACCCGGGCCATACGGCTTCCCCGACCTCCGGGTAGTTAACTCGGACCCGTTTCAACATCTTTGTCTGCTTAGATCTCTCATATAGACACTCTATCAACAGCTTGCCGGTGTAGCAACAAAGAAAGGCGATTTTCGCGTTAGCAGCTACGGCCGCCCAACCTCCCATACGCACCGCATAGGGTACCCCAAGGATACCTGTGCCTTGAATGAGGTTTGTTACGTTCCAGCCAGCAAGAAACGCTGAGGCACGTCTGTCATCGGACGGTTTCTCTAACAACGAAACGGTCATGGTGGCTGATTTCAGATTTTTAATGCTCTGAGAAAAGCCAGATCTAGGAGAAGCACCTCCAACTACGCTTGAAGAGATTGGGGATTTCTGGTCGTTTGACACAGACAACAGATGCGAACGTTCGTCCAAACGTACAACTGTTGGTCGGGGTGCTGCAGGATCTTGTTCAGTCATAGCGATGCCTTCTTCTTCGAGCGAGGCCGCTTCAGACGCCATTTTTATGCGAAGGTTCTGTTTCTTCCTTCTTTTGCTGTTATATCTGTTTCGTAACCCGTGTTGCTAAGAATCGGCTGTGCGTTCTCAGCAAGTTCTTTTTTTAGCGCAACTTTCGCACGTTCGATTGCGACCACTACGCACGCTTAGGCCAGACACAAATATTGATTTGTACATGTACCTCGTGGCAGTGTTGCGTTACCATTTATTGTTACGTCACAAAATAAAAATAAAAGATTATTTGTATCCCTCCGAAGTATAGTTTAAACCCGTTGGGGATGTTGAATTTAAAATATGTTACTGCGCTTTTGAAATCGATTTGATAAACGTCTTTAAATATTACTGAAATGATTTAAGATGGGCTTGTCTTCCACATCTACAAATGCTAACAAATCAATGGCTAAAATTCCCACCAGCAGGGATCTGAGGTTTGATCTGTGGTTTTATCTGTGGTTTGATTTTTTCTCGTAATTAGTAATTTATTCTGGCCTTTCACCAAGTCACTTGTAGGGTTTTGAATTTCAAATTTTTTGCTCCCGTCCCTCAATTAATCTCTTGAGGACATTTATTCACTTCTACATTAATCTTCAAGTTCGAGTTACGTTGTCGTTACGAATTCTCAAGAAGTGGCTGAAGAAAAGTGGCATGTGGGAAGTATACGAGTTTCAAAGGGTAAATATTGAATCACGAACAGAACTTGAAGTCAGAATTCTTTCACATATGGCTGAAATAAATCCGATCACGTCTCTTGTGTTTCCGCTTTTTTTAAACTCTGAACGGATACACAAGGGTTTGTTGCCAACTAGTTTCAACAGCGATTTATGTAACAAAAAACATTTAAATCTACTCTCATTGTTAATAAATCCATAGACTTATAATAATTGACCAGAATGCTTCAATCCAACAAGATGATTCACGGATCATGTTGAATCGAACTCCTTCGCAGGCTCGCGCCAGAAAATTCCTCAAATAACGGAGACGGACGATTTCATTTCACGTTTCACGCGAAAATAGGAAGATGCTACAGGGGACGATTATCTGATCCCCACAGTCTGTGTGGGAGTGGTTCTCTCGATATCGCACTCTATAGTACAGCAAGAGAATATCAACTGTTGATATTCTTTTGATTACAGTAAAGGGTCAGGGTTCTTGTAGTGTATTGAAAACATTGTAAAAGTACTTCTACCAGTGTTAGTAATATTACTGCTGGACTACTGAACGATGTGAAAGTACTAGACTAAGTACTGTTATCAAGTAACATGATTGTAGCAACTTATTAGATATTTGATCGATGAATTAAGACAGAATATAGAAAGCAATCGAAGAGGGAGTGTCTCCACTAAAAGAATACACGACAGTTCCACGGACAGAGACTGAGAACATGGCACCTGTTTTCAATCTATTTGTATCTGGTAGTTCTTGGGACTCGGAGTCGTCCACCGTCCTGCTGAGGGGCGTTAAGGATGTATTCTGGTCTGACTTTAAGTTTTTTGGACTATACAGCTCTATAATATTGATGGGCGACTGGGAAAGTATTTTTCAAATGTCTATGAAGTCAAATGGAACTTATGCCACGCTCAGATTAGACTTCTCAAGGAGCTTAGATTGCAAATCTCCCGCGGAGACTTCGTTACAAATAGGATAGAGGACGTTGACATGAATTTAGCATCAAAGATTTCTTTCCAATAATTGAAGAGAAATAATGCGAAGGAGGTGCTCTGGAAATTTCCGTCAAAATGTGAGATGTTAAGAAGAATTAACTGGGACAGGAGGAAAATTGGTTCGACAGTGAGGCTGATAAACCACCATGTCAACTGTGATTGAAAGTTACCTTAGCGTCATTTGCACTGTCTACAGTACTGACAGATCTTCAGCCTGTTGAAAGAACTATTTTTCGCTATTGTTTCCTTGTTGTCAACAACGTCTGGAGTGAATCGATAATTCGGGACATAAATGAGTGAAATAAAGAGCGCGGAAATTCACAGTTCACTTAATCAGTGTTACGCAAATTAAAACTAACGACATGGATGTTACTAAAACGAGGAATGGGGAATAGGGAATAGGGAGTAGAGAATGGGGAATGCCATAAATATTGGTTGCTCTCTCATCCGCGATACAACCAACTCCTGAACCTCAGAATATCTATAAAATTGTTTTCATTAATAGCTGAGCCTCAGATAGTGAAATGTCGAAACAAGTTAGTGTAATTTATTTTGTCATCACCAATTTATTCTGTTACTCTGCTGCAGAATTTTCCAAAAATTAGCGTGGATATTGATAATCACCATTGAAAACATCTGTTCTGCATTATAAACAATTTATCTAAAAAATAATTTCTCTCTTTCATTTTCCCACTTTCTCATTTTCCCATTTTCCCATTCACTGTTTTTATTACATCCAACTGAAATTAATATCAATTTGCATCAGGTTCATGTAACCTCCCCTTCCCATAATAAGGTACAACACAATAAAAATTGTTAAATTCCCAGCTGAAAATGTAAAATTTAATATTTTGATTACAACTCAGCTATACAATTACATAGTCTATAAAGGTGCAAGCTTTTGAGAAAACTTCACATCAATACCAGTGAAATAATTCTGAATGACCACAGTTGATTTGGAATACATGCTTCTGCACTTCATGGTGACATTACTCAGCATAATGTTAAGAGTGAGAGCAAAAATGATCCAATAATTGTTTTTTTGTTTGTTTGTTTTTTTATTTGGTCATGAAGAATTTGTGCTGTCTGAGGTAAGAAAATTATCAGAGATCACCTGTATACATCCCTATAATTTGCCACTGACCTCAAATTATTCTTCCTTTTTATACATTTCAACCAGGTTTTGCTCAAAAATTGAGCTGTTCTTTCTTCCTGATCTCTATTTCAAGTTAAATTCTAAGTTTAATTTGTTTTCTATCATTTTTTTCTGGGCTCACTGATTTTTTTTCTCTTTTTTTCGGAGAAGAGGGTGGGGGAATGTTTATAACCATGATTGCCCTCTCCTTTTACCTCCCCCCCCTCCCCTTCAAATTCCTGATGACCTTCCTTGGTTTGATATTCTGAGGAACCATATGTTAAATAAAAATTCGGGTCAAAATATTTACAGAATAATGCATATTTTGGATCCAATATATATTAATAGTTATTATCATTTGTGTTACATGTATCAACAAAGCAGGTCTCAGTTTATATACCTTATGAAATACTTATTGTTACAGAATTTATTTCCTCACTTGGACACATTGATTAGTTCAATTGCTGAGAATACCACTCCAAGGATTCCAACAACAATTCCAAAGATGGTGACAGCCACTCTACATGCAATCTGCAACCAGTTTAACTTCTTCCACTTCAGCTTCAGATGGAAAATGCATGGGAAAATGAAACACAGACTGGTTCCCGTTAAGCTGCCAAGCAGACCCATAACTAAGCCAAAATGAGGTACGGTGATGGCCAGGAAGACACCAAACATAAGGAGCAATGGACGCGTCAGGATCAACCAAAACCAGTGAAAACTTGAATCCTTAGAAAGGTGAGGAAAGTGAGGAAGCATTTTTTTATCCCATGTCTCCAAAACAACAAACATGACAAGAGGAAAGGCAAGCACAACATTACCAATAACAAAAACATTGGACAGAATGTAAAAGACTGGACTGGTTTTGATATTAACTGTTATTGCCTGGTTAAGTTCCTGCCCAAATCGAAACACACCCAGTAGGCCCAGAGCAAGTTTGGTGATTATTGAGTTTGCAAAGGCAACTTTCAGCATCATGGGGTACTGTTCAGGATGACGCATGCTTCCTTCCACTCCTGGGAATACTGCATGTGCTGTAAAGCTGAATACAATGATGCCCAAGCCAACCAGAAAAGAGTTTAGGTGGAAACTTGGCATGTTGCTGAAGCTCATCTTCTGATACTGTGTAATGCAGTAGATTATGATGGTGAAGACACCAGAGAACAAAGAGAAGACAGAAATCATGCTGAACCAGGCGATGAGTGACACGCGGGTGATAAAGATTGCTGGAAGGACAACACAACCAACCACAACGGTCCAGTCATAAACATCCATACTCTTGTTGTGGAAAAGATCAAGGAAGATGGTGGCCATCAAGACAACATAGGTGACGCCTATGCCAGACATCTCAACCACTTGCACAATGCTGACAATCCTGTTTCCCCACACGGGCCAGCAGGCTTCGCCAACATCAGGGTAATTCACCCTTACTCGTTTCCTTTGACCTGTCCGCTTGGAATCTTCGTACAAACAGTCGATTAGAATCTTGCCCGTGTAACAACAAAGAATACCGCAGACAAAAATACAAACAACAGCAGCCCACCCACCGAGCTTCACAGCGTACGGTATTCCTAGAATCCCCGTTCCTTGAATGAGATTTGTTACGTTCCAACCTGCAAGAAACGCTGAGGCTCGGCGATCATCTGAAGGCTTTTCGATTAACGACACAGTCATCGTGGCGGAACGCAATCTCATTAAACTCCGCGACAAATTCATCCTTGATAAACTAAGTCCAAGAAGACTTTTTCCCACTTCATGTTCACCCTGGACCAAAGGAGCTTTCTCTCCCAGAGGCACAATAGTAGGCTTTGATTGAGTTGTTCCGAAAGCTGCCTCTTCGGCAGGCTGCCTAATTGATGAACTCGGTGAAGACACCAAAGGCACACTTTCTGCCATTGTTCCACCGCTCAGTGCTTCACTGTTTAAGCTTTGCTACCCACGTGCTGTTTTATACGGTAAACAGAAATCGCTTTAACAAGCAATCAAGTACTTGAGACTCACTACTACCGTCCCGTTCGCGGATTGTTGTTTTTGTTGTGATAATCAGTACGTGGTTAGGTAATAATCACGTGTACCACACGCCTTTCCTGAGTACATTAGGGTCAAGGGTACCCAATCAACGAGCCAAAACTAATTTTCTTTTGTAGCAGAAGATCAACGGATGATTGGTTTCCCATTGTTTAGGGGAACAGCAGGTTAAACAGTGCGATGTACATTTTAAATTGGTGCTAATCGATACACAGTACACTCCTTCGAGTTTCGTTTGAGATGTCACACAACGCTCTGAAAGTGCTGCGTGACTTCAAGATTTTGAAATTACGATCGGCTCGATTCTTCACTGTACACCATTAATTTGCAAATTACTCATGAAAGTGTTTAACGCATACTCTTTGGACTTAAATTAAATTTATTTCGTTTAGGGAATTTCTAGAAATAAATCAATAATCTCAAGTTAAAACAAAGCAAGCTATGAGAGGTAGAGACTATATTTTGTGTAGAAATAAGACTTTTAATAGGTTTCTGTATTTCTTACAGGATTGCATTAAAAAAATCACGTAGAAGCTATTATAAATTTGTAATCATACCATTGTCACATGTATGACTAAAAGTGTCCAATCGAACCAGCGTCACATCAAATTTTGTCTTCTTGGAACAAGACCAGCTCTGACTATATATAATTACATGAATGATTAATTAAAAACATATCACCTCTTAAATACAGCATAGGAGTCAATTGAAATATTGCACCTTGACATTTCCTTAAGCTTTTGACCCTTAAGAGTGACTAGCATCTAATTCCTCCTTACAATGTCGCCCCTGAATCATGTAGTAAGGTCATGAGAAAAAGGGAAATGATCACCAACTAAAGAAGGTCTTGATTGTTAAACAAATTCTCCTTGTCAGCACCTTGGGAAATGTATGGAGAACACTATGGAGAATATGCATGCTGATGTTAGGGTGTAAAGAGTTAATTCTACTATTTGATTGCTTAGATGAAAAATCAGAAACAGAGCCAATTCTTATTTATTTTAGATTACCCTTGCTAAGCAGAGAATGGGGAGAGATTCTTAGTGGTAATGGTCTAGTGGAAGACACTCAGGAAAATATTATCCTTGAGTTTGTTTGTTTGTTTGTTTGTTTGTTTGTTTTTTTTTGCCTACAAAAATAAAAAATAGTGATTGATTGTGTCTTTAAGAGATAAAATGAAAGGATTTTGGCTGTGACTAAAAACAAGGCTTGATCTCTTGGTTGTATTTACAGTCCCCAGCACTTGATTCACAACTGTGAGCCTTATGTTGCACTTCCTCTGTCCCTGACTTCTCTAAAAAACACTAGTTATACTGAACTCAGACAAGCTGCTTACATGAAAATAACTCACTACAATGATAATCAATTTTAAAATTTCTTTGAATAACTGTCCACTGATCACAGTGTGATTGTTTCCATAGTCACCTAAGGAACGAGGAGATAAGAGACAACTTTAAAAACAGTCAACCAAAAGAGAAAGCTTTTGCAAGCGCCTTTCCTGAGAACACCAGACCAAACCCACCACAGACCAACCCAAATATTGTCACAAATATCTTTGTTAAAATACTGTACCAAGGAGTGGTTTTCCATTTCAAGATCATGTGGAAAACACAAGGGAAAACAAAAGAAAGGCAAGTGCCTGTAAAACTGCCAACAAAACCCATCAGAAGACCAAAGTGTGGTACAATAACTGCCAGGAACAAAGCAAGTGTGAGAAGCATGATTCTGGTCAGAAGCAACCAAAACCAATGGTAACCTGTTTCCTTGCCAAGATGCGGGAAATAAGGTAAAACCTTTACATCCCATGTTTCCAACACAACGAACATGCAAATAGGGAAGGCCAGGAACACATTAGTGACAACAAGTACTGTGGCTACTATGTTGAAAACTGGACTGATGCGCATATTAACTGTGATGACTTGTTCGGTAGTTTGACCAAACCTGAGAACTGCTAACATACCAAGCAGCATCTTAACTACTGCGGCCAGGGTAAACGCGCTGTTCATCATCGCAGGGAATTTTTTTGGCTCTCTCATGCTGCCCTCGACGCCAGGAAACACTGCGTGTGCGCAGTAGCTGAACACGATAATACCAAAGCCTATGGGAAACTTCTCTGGATCGAAGCGAGGAATGTTTGAGACGGACATATCGCGGTACTCAGTGATGCAGTAGATGATAATGGTGGCGATGCTAGAAAGTAGCGCAAACACGGAGATCATACTGATCCAAGCGATTACAGAAACGCGCGTTATGAAGATCCCTGGTAACGCAACATACGCGCATACGACTGCCCACTGATAGATGTCCAGGGGCGTCAGCTCGTTCAAAATGTCGTTGAATACCGTAGCAAGAAGCACAATGTACATGATTACACCACCATACATCTCGCAAACTTGCACAACGCTGACAATTCTGTTCCCCCAGCCTGGCCAAGCAGCTTCTCCAACCTCTGGGTAGTTAATTCGAACTCGCTTGCGCTGACCGGTTCGCTTCGACTCTTCGTACAGGCAGTCGACCAAAAGCTTGCCGGTGTAGCAGCAAACAGCAGCTACTGCAACGATTGTAGCTACAGCAGCCCATCCTCCCATCAGGACGGCATATGGAACGCCGAGGATGCCGGTTCCCTGAATTAGATTGGTAACATTCCAGCCAGCCAGCCAAGCAGACGCGTTGCGATCATCCGAAGGCTTCTCCAAAATCGAAACTGTCATGGTAGCGCCGCGTAGTTTTCTGATGCTCTCTGCAAAACCCGACTTTCTCAGACTCACGCCATGATCGTCGGTGTGAGCGAAAATAAGAGGTGTTTCTTCTGCACCTGATTGCAAGGACGGTTTGTTCAGTGGGATCGTTTCGCCGTCGATGTTCGGTTTAGAACCAGCAGAACCACCATCCATCTTGCTCTTTTCTTCTGATACTCTAAATGTTCCTTTTGCACTATCTGCTACAAATTTGATGCAAGCTTGGACGGCTTTCAGTGTTCGCGCGATGGCCTTATCACTTGTCTAAAACAAGATTCCTAAATCTCGTACCATGCGTGTTTGTTGTTCATCTTCTTTTGCGTAACAAAACTATTGTCGTTCGACTGACCAATCATGAAGGAGAATATGGACCGGATGTAACAGGAGCGTGACATGCCCCGACGACTGTGCCAAGAGTCAATTTCACCGATGAGATAATCGCAAGAAAGCTATTTCATTGCTATTATTATTTTACTTTGAAAATATAAAAACGATCATCGGTACAGAATAGTAACTCTCGTAGAGATGATACGTGTTGCCATTTAGTTTGTTGTTGTTCGACAGAACACCGAAATTGGAGGCGGTACTAAATCCATTCGACCAATCAAAGAGAGATTCTAGGTTTACGACGTGACGAAAACGCCACGACTAATCCAGCTGCAATCAAAGTTGTTTACCTTGACCTCATTCATCCCTGTGGTTTAGTTTTGCCGAATCGTACATTTCCACACCAGTGCCCCTTTGAAATGAACTGTCCCACGTGTAAAAATGCCTAGCGTGATCTTCTGTACTTAAGGCGGATCAACGGTATTTTCCGGCTTCTCGAATGGCGGACGAACCCGAATTCGGTGAGCATGATGTGCAGCTCGCTTTATCGCACTCTTTGACCCTGGGAAACACTGAAAACGAGACCGAGAAAGATCCAAGCTACGAACTGGTGAGCAGGAACAAGGAATCACAGAAGAATGAACGAACACCTTTAGTGCGCACCGTGGACCCAGAAGAACAGGAATCCCCATCCGCGTGGAGTACAAATTTTAAACGATTTCGCTCGTTTACCATGTCTCATTTCACAGTATCGTTGATAGAAAAGGAATGTCGCGATAGGCAAGCTTCTGCTGTTCTTGCCGGCTGGAATGTGACTAATCTGATTCAAGGAATGGGAATTCTTGGAGTTCCCTATGCCGTGCGTGAGGGAGGAATTGCGGCAGTTATTTGTATCTTCATTGTAGCCGTGTTCTGCGATGTGACTGGAATTCTTCTGGTCGATTGCTTATACGAAGTCTCTCCCCGTAGCAAGCTGAGGAAGAGGATTCGTAGTTCTTACCCTGATGTAGGTGAAGCAGTGTGGCCTGGTGTGGGAGGGAGGGTGGTTAGTGTTGTCCAGACAATAGAACTGTATGCGGCTGCCATCCTTTACTTAGTGCTCTTAACGACCATGTTTTATCAGATTACAAACAAGTTTTTACCTCTCACTCTAAATGAATGGGCCGTCCTCTGTTCTATAGCTGTCCTGCCAAGTGTCTTCATCACAAGATTGTCGCTTATTGCCTGGATGAGCATGCTGGCAGTGTTCTCCCTGATGTCTGCGCTGGCTGTTATGGTAGCCTACTGTGTTGTACGATATGATCAGTGGACTGTGGACAACATCCCATCCTTTGATATAAATACATTTCCTGTTGGGTTTGGTATCGTGACATTCAGTTACTGTGCTCATGCAGTTTTCCCTGGAATAGAGGGCAGTATGAGGGAACCAAAGAAATTCAACAAAATGATGCATGTTTCCTTCTTCATCTCAGCTGCTGTTAAAGCTTTGTTTGGTGTATTCGCTGTCCTAACATTTGGCTTGGCTACAGAACAAGTATTTACCATAAACTTGGCAGGCAATGTAGGTTTTAACACAGCAGCAACAGCTTTTGTGGCAACAAATGTATTCTTTTCATTCCCACTACCACTGTTTGTAGTGGTGGAAACATTTGACAGTACTGTTGGGCCATACTTTCCTCATTTAAAGAAAGGTACAAAGTATCATTGGTTCTGGTTTGTACTAACAAGGACCTTGCTTGTAACATTTGCCCTTTTCATTGCCTTGGTTGTGCCCCATTTTGGCCTGTTGATGGGTTTTGTGGGCAGTTTCACTGGCACATGCCTATCTTTTGGATTTCCGTGTATAGCTCATCTTAAGTTACGGTGGAATTCCCTGCGCTGGTATCACATTATGGCGGAAATTCTTCTTATTGTGTTTGGAGTTTTAGCAGGCGGTTTAGGTTTTGTTTATTCAGGTAAAGCACTTGTGGACTCATTTAGGACATTTCAGTGAAAATAATTAATAGTTTAATTTAACTACGTGAAGAGTACAGGAGCAGTCTTAACCTTTCATTCTAAAGATCGTATTAGTAAGTCTCCTTACTTTTTTTCCCCTACCATACAATTATTAAGTTAGCTCAGATAAACTGCCATTGGCAGGATCAACCAAGAATTCCTAAATTATTGATATTTTTCTTTATTCTCTTCACTTGTCTGCTTGATATTGGTTTGTTATGGAAGGAGGAATTCTTTCTTGGCAACTCATAGGAGTTTAAGGGTTAAGAGATCTAAAATTCATTTCTAATTGTATCAGTTCAGAGTCTAGGTACTTTCAAAAAAATTATGATCATCTTTGGGAAATATTTTGCCATAGCCTCTACAATTATCACAAACTATTTAATTAAAAGATGTCAGGAAATTATATCATCAGGAAATTTATTTTATGATAAGCAAATAAATTTGATGGCTACTGTCTGTTTTATTCTGTAAACTTGTCATGTATGAGGTAATAAATTAAAAGTAACAGATAGTAGAGTGTTTAGCTAATACGGAGAACCAGTTAGGCAAGAGTGAAAAAAGCCAATAATTGTAACAAGAGTGAAAAAAAAAGAAAAAAGAATGGGACAAAATACACTTTACATTAAATTACAGTTTATACTGTTACATTCTTTGTTTTAATTCATTGACTTTTGTCAGACTCTGTGGCTGAAGGAGCCATTAGGGGTGAGTTTCTTATTTTCTCAAATCTTTATTAAGGGATCTCATGGATTTTTTTGTTTTTGTTTTAATGAACCTGAAATGAGATTACTGGACAGGTAATGTTTTAAATGAAGATCAATTTTAATAAGTTGTGTAGATGTGTTTTTTGAAAGCTTTGTTCAACACCCATTGACTTCAGGTGCATTGTGGTAATCAAGGTTGATGTTAGGATTTAGAGGTGATGTGAGTTTCTTTTTATTTTTAATCAATGCACAATGAGTTAAAGGGTGTTTTGCCTCTTTTGGGGGCCTAGAACTCTTGGCTGGAGTGTGAAGTGACTCTAGAAGACATGGTGAATGGTGGCTTGAATTGTTACCAAAACATTAAGCTTCTAGGTGCCATGATACATGTAAAATTGAGAGGGTAGTTCTTATTCTGATTATACAATATTGGTCCAATATCGGTCCAATATTGGATATTTTTGTACTGATTTGAATAATGATTTATAATCAAGTTGTTCAAAATTGAGAACTATTAAAGTTTTTTTTATCAATTAGAATATTGTTTCAGCATTCTATTCTACTCATATGACCTCAGAATCTACTCTTGTGGGAAGAGTATAGGATTAAAGAGTCCTCTATCTCCCTTTCTTAGCACATATGTTATTGGACGACAGTGTTTATTAGTTGACTTGAATCAAGAAAAATTGTTGTCATGAACACTTGCACTTCTAGCTACTGCCTCAGTGATGTGCTTCCTGTCATCTCTAAGTTAAACCTGTGGTATGTGAGTTACCCTAAAACCTAACATGGTTGCCACAGGTCAGAAAAATGGTGAAAAAATTAAAATTCTTCAAGATCAAGGATTAGTCAGGGAATTTAACTTTAAGTCAGGAAAACTTCACATCTTTTGAATAAGTTAGGGAAAAGCAAAATTTCCAGGGAATATGAATGATTTCTTCTTGTCTTGGCCCACTTCATGATTAGAGATGGTTCCACTTTTCTATTCAGTGATGCAGCTACTGTTTAGAACAATTGATAAACTCCTGTTGGTTTGTGAATGAAATCATACATTTTCTTTTTATTCTGTTTTCATCATTTTCTCATCCTTTTCACAAATTCTTTGGTATATTTCATGGATGAGAAAGGTGTTGGATCAGTAGAATATTGTTAAACGAAATTGGATGACAAACTAAAACTAATGTTGTGTTTCCAAAAAAATCTATCATTTTTTCATGTTACCTAAATGAGCTATCAATTCATATACACTGTAGCAGAAATTTATGGATAGCTGTGGGTGGAGGTTGGTGACTACTACATGGATTCGTTTGTGACAATGTAAATTCAGTTGGTCTGGTAAATGTTGTGTTTGTCAGGGAAAAGTTAGAGAATTTCGAAATCCTGTGACTGTGGAAACCATGCCTATGGTGTAACTGTGACTAAGTTTCTTTTCTTTTTTTGCGCATTCTTCACAGATGGTCGCGCGAATTTGGAAAAAAAAACTTTGTGAATAGTAGAAGTATTAAAATAAAGATTCTTGTGCTCGTGCTGAAACGACAGGGCCATTTTGTTCAGAAAACCTTCGTTACTGTATATATTTTTTTGTACTCGATTTTATCGCTTTGCTGAGAGATCTATTCTTACAGTTTAGATTCCTATATTTTCACTCAAATCCTTCAGGACTGTAATACAAACGAAATTCAAACTAACCTCGATTTACGCTGAATGCCTCTCGAACTACAAGTCCTAAATACAGTACATGCATTTCATAAGTAAAGGATTACAACTCGCAACCGAGCTGCAACGGAATAACCTTGGAAAAAAAACACAGGCTTTGACAGGATTCGAACTCGTGTCTCACAGAAACTAGTTGGACGTGCTACATAGAGCTACATGATCAGACAAAGGCGAATTAAAATGGATTCTTTATTTATTTCAGGCTTTTTTACTGCGATTTTGTAATCTTACTGCTCACCGGCTAGGATTTTATCTTTATTTGTTTATCATCGTCAGTTAAAACAGTTTAATTTATTTTCATTTCTTAGTTATCAGTACCTATTGTTGTATTTCTTGCTATGCTAAGTATGCCGACGGGACAGAACTCGGTGTTCATGTTTTCTATTGTTATTTCGGTCTTTTATCGGTCAATTTCGAATACAAAAAAGTTATTAGAGGAACTTTTGAAGAGTAATTTTTTAGAGGATGCCGGACTCTTGCGCTGAATTTGCGGGGTTTTCTCTGTGCTGAACACGTGGTCAATTGTTGTAACATGGTATCAATATTTGCGTGACGTAGACCGCATGCAGCGATTTATGACATGTAATACGTGAACTGAGTTTTTCACAAACCGACGTTGTTTTGGTTTTCGATCCAATATGTCTTAAGAAATAAGCATAATCACTTTCAGTGCATAAAATGGTTCACGTTTTAAGCCTGGTTGTTAGGGGACTACACGCGAGATACAGTCGCGAAACTAGTAACGAAAACTTGGAAAACCAGTCTGACTTGGTGAACGTGCGACAAACCGGACCGATGGTCTCCGTATTTCCGCGCGTTCATCGTCGTATCTCTATACAGAATCAAACAACCGTTGTGCCAAGCGGAGTAGTTGTTGCTCTTGTAAGGAGATAAAAGTCTGAGAAGAACAGTCCTCAAATCAAAGAATGGACGAGGAGAGTACGGAAATGAACACGATTTCGGTGACTGCGCTCCCGTGTTCTAGCACAGCTCCATCGGCGACTACTGTGATAAAAGAACCAGAGTTAGTAACAATCCTCGAGGACATGCCTTTGACAAACGAACAGATCGAAGAAGAGCAAGATCTATTGGAAGAAGCCGAGGATGAGTTCGAGCCGAATGAAAACACTCCACTCATTCGATCGCACGAAACTCTAGAAAAGAGTGACTCAAGTTTCTTCACACACAACAGCAAAAGTTTCACGACAACTTTCACAACGAGTCAGGCATCCTTATTCATCCCTTCGTTCCAGTTTTCGTTGTATTCTAGCATAGTATCAATCTCGCGGTCTCTAAATCAACGATCCGTGGCCCTCACGATTGACGACAGAAGTAGCCAAGACTCGAAATCGAAATCAACAACCTTGTTGGAGAAGTTGTCAGAAGATGGCCAAGCAACGACCATGCTTGCGCTATGGAACATGATTAACATGATCTTTGTTAGCACTAGTGTTCTAGCTATGCCCTATGCGATCTTCCTGGGAGGATTCGCAGCTCTGTTCCTAATTTTATTCATTGGATTTCTGACCGACATCACTTCAGTTCTTCTTGTTGGCTGCCTTTACGAAATCTCACCGAAAAGCCGGCTTCGCAAACGAGTCCGAGCGAGTTATGCCGAGATTGCAGCGCACGTTTGGGGACCAGTGGGTGGGTGGATAGTTGATTTCGTAACCGTGAGCTTGTCATACTGCAGCTGTGTTCTGATGGTGATGGTTCTCGGTAGTAGCTTCATGGAACTGTTCAAGGAACTGGTCATGTTAAACTTAAAGGAATGGTGCTTGATCTGTGCACTGGCCATGTTACCCACAGTTTTCATCAAAAGACTGTCCATTCTTGCCTGGCTAAGTATGCTAGCTGTAGTAGCAGTGTTTATTATTGCCTTTATTCTGTTAGGTTTTACTCTGGGGGATTCGAACTCTTGGACATTAGACAAAATTCCTTCATTTAACATTAACACTTTTCCAGTTAGTTTAGGAATTATTATGTTTTCATACTGTGGCCATACAGTATTTCCTGGAATAGAGGGCTCCATGCAGAAACCCGTGAAATACAAAAGTGTCACGCATCGGGCATTTATCTCCGTCACGGCAGTGAAATTTTTAGTTGGGCTTTTCTGCTGCCTCACATTTGGTAGCAACACCAAGTCAATTGTGATCATAAATCTCAGTTTGTCATATGGCTCAATTCTTAGCAAAATAGCAACAGTGTTGGTTATCATAAATATTTACTTTTCATACCCTCTTAATATGTTTGTTGTAAGTGGAACATTAGATATAATTCTTTTGCCAAAGTTTCCCCTCTGCTACAATCACAAGCGTTACAATTATTTGTGGGTTCTCTTCACTCGCACTTTCCTGGTCCTCTCAACACTTGGTATTGCTGTAGCTGTACCTCATTTTGGGCTGCTGATGAGTATATTTGGAAGCTTGTTTGGAGCTTGTATCACCATGATTTTCCCTTGCCTATTCCATTTGCAGCTTAAATGGAACAAGTTGACTTGGTATAAGAAAGTTTGTGAGATGCTTATAGTGTTATTTGGGATAGTTGCAGGCACATTAGGTTTGAGTTATTCCTCTATTGCCCTGAAGAATGCCTTGCACTAATTTGTACTAGAAATTGTTCAATATTGTATTACAGGAGCATAACTCCTCAGGGGCCTTTCTTGCCCTCTCCTTTCCCCCCCAACCTTTACGAGTTCATTTTTCTTCATAGTCAACAACATACAAAGTTAGTGGAGGGAGGATACAGGATGTGTTTGGCATCTTGTGCAGGAGGTAGATCATAGGATTTGGTATCACTTCAGGCACTCATTTGAAATGTTGATGTTCAGCTCTAGTACAGGTATTGGATGGAAAGCCACTTTTTTGGCTCATGTAACATACAGCCATCTTACTTTGCTGCAGGTTTCAGCATCTGAATTATTGGAGTAATTTTTATCATAAAAAAATTTTGTAAAGCATATTATTTTTGTTTCATAGATAAGTAATATGTACACAACTGAGGAATATTATGTTAGAATATGTGATAATCAACAACTACTTCACTTAAGTGGAGGTGGCTCGTGGTGGATATTTACCAGGCCGCAAAGTGGTGAGGTAAATATCTACTGCTAGCAACCGACAATGAGGTGAATATATATAATTGTTTTATAGTATATACTAAAACAGTGAGATACTATAGCACAAAAAGATGATTTTCACTCATTTATCTAGGCAACGATAACAATATATAAAGGTGCAGGTCCAGTATGAGTTGCTTGTAGGTAAATTGCAAAGGATATTTGAAGTTTGAGCGGCCTTAAATGCTATCCACTGTTTTAGTATATACTAATACAGTTTATCAATCAGATGAACACAGTTTTTTGAAATACATAGGTCTCCTCAGTTAAATAATATTACATTACTGATAACATTTTTTGAAAGCGTCAGAACATGAAAAGATGTACAATATATACAAGCTCGATGTTTATATAAGACTCGCACATGAACTGGACCAACATTTATTATAAGCAAATGTATTAGAGGCAAGCTACAATATATAAATTTTTTTTGGCATATAAAAATTTACATGAAGAATAAAAAGTATTCGTTCTTTATCATAATGCATGGCCTTTCTGCCTTAATCAATGCAATGTACAGTCAAACCTGTAATGATTTTTTTAAGCAGCACTGTATTAAGAGGTCACACTTTATAAGCAGTCAGTTTTCAGTCCCCAATTTTTTCCCCTTCAGCCTTTAGTCCTTAAGAGTGACTAGCATCCAATTTCTCCTCACTGTTCAACAAATTCTCTTTATCAGTCTCTTTGGAAATGCTTGGAGGACAGTATGAAGAATATGCATACTGATGTTAGGGTGTAAAGGGTTAAGTCATTATAATTTTTCACCTCTGTTAAGTGGTCACCTCTATTTAGCAGCCATGGTGAACCTTTACTGCTTGTATTTCCCTTTTCCTGTATTGAAAGGTCATAGAACTACTCAAATAGAACTAAGAAAAATCTTTCAAGTAAAACTGAATCTGTGTTTATTGCCAAAAATCAATTTACGAGTATTTTTGAGAAGTTTTTGTACATTTAGGGGAGGAAATGACACCCTTTTTCTTTTTTCATGATACCTGCTTCTGTGGAACCTGTCTTCAAGGGTCAACCGGTATCAACCCTTTAACCCTTAAGAGTGACTGGCATCTGATCTCTCCTTACCATATCATCCTGAATCAAACATTAAGGTCAGGAGAATAAAGGAGCTGATCACTCACTAAAGAAGATCTTGATAAATTACATGATTTGGTAACTGAGGTCGATATCATACCCTCGATCAAAACAGACCATTCCGCTATTTTTTTAGAACTTGAAGAAATCGAATCAAGTGGAAGAGGAGCTGGCTTCTGGAAACTAAACACTTCTCTATTGGCAAATGAAAATTATAAACATATGATAACAAACAATTTACCGACCTGGCTGGATGCAGGTAAAGATATACATGATCCCAGACTTTTGTGGGATTGGATCAAGTTTAATATAAGTTCAAACTCCATCATATTCTCCAAACAAATAGCTTCCATTCGACGGAAACAAGAAGAGGAATTAAATAAACGTTATCAGGAGGCAGTCCTAATGTTTCACACAAATCCTTGTAACAATACGCGTCTGGCACTAGAAAAATCTAAGCAGGATCTTGAAGCACTGTACGAGGACAAAGTAGAAGGAATTATATTACGCGCAAGAGCTCGATGGCACGAACACGGTGAAAAGAATAACAAATATTTTTTAAATCTCGAGAAACGCAACCATGTTAAAAAGCATGTAAGAAAGCTGCACATTAGCGGTGTAATTTCTACTGACCCCTTTATGATTATGGATTCACAACGCAAATTTTATAAGAACTTATATCGTAGCAGAAATGTTAATCTAGATAATGCAGAATCATCGATTTTTTTCGATAGTCCAAATTTACCCAGTATTTCACATGATTCAAGAATAATATGTGAGGGTAGAATAACTGCGGAAGAATGCCAGAACGTTCTCAAAACTTTTCCAACTGCAAAAACGCCAGGCAACGACGGGTTACCCATTGAATTTTATAACACCTTCTGGCCATTACTTAGTGATACTTTGATTAATTCATTTAATGAAGCTTTTATGAAGAAGGAAATGTCCCCATCTCAGAGACAGGCAGTGATTACTCTTATTGAGAAACAGGACAAGGATAGGACTTACTTAGAAAATTGAGGCCAATATCCTTGACTAACGTCGACGCCAAAATTGCGTCCAAAGTTATAGCGACCCGTATTGTCAAAGTTTTACCCGAAATCATTCATAGCAATCAAACTGGGTACGTTTCAGGTCGCTACATAGGGAAGCCGCAAGATCAATTCTAGATATAATGGATTACACGAAAACTTATGAAATCCCTGGATTGCTACTTTTATAGATTTTGAGAAAGCTTTTGATAGTCTGGAGTGGAATTTTATGTTCAAATGCTTAGAAGTCTTTGGATTTGGATCCAGTCTTACAAGATGGATAGAAACCTTTTACAGTAACATAACAAGTTGTATTATCAACAATGGAACGCTCTCAGCTAGCTTTGAAATAAATCGAGGTGTAAGGCAGGAGACCCCTTTCTCCTTACTTGTTTATCATTGCTATGGAACTACTAGCAGTCGCTATTCGCTCATGTTCAGAAATAGATGGAATCAAAATAGATGAAAAAGAATTCAAAATGGTACAGTATGCAGATGATTTAACAGCTTTTGTGTCGGATATCAGATCTGCTCAATACCTTTTTAAGTTACTTGATCAATTCCAAAAATGTTCTGGCCTAAAGGTGAATTATACAAAAACCGAAGCAATGTGGATTGGCTCTTCCCGTAATAACATCGAAACACCTCTAGCATTGAAATGGCGTAAAACTGTAAAAAAGCTTAGGGGTTCACTTTAGTTACAATAACGAAGAATCAGTGCAAAAGAATTTCTACGATAAGCTCAAAGGAATTAAATCTCAGATACGCTTGTGGAGTTGGAGAGGCCTCTCTCTGTTTGGTAAAGTTACAATTATTAAGAGTTTACTACTTCCTAAAGTTTTATACATCTCGTCAATTCTTCCTTCTCCTTTGAGTTCATAAAGGCCCTTCAATCAATTATATATAATTTTTTTTCTTTGGAAGGGTCCTGATAAAATCGCCAGGACAGCAGTAATAAATGATGTTGAATTTGGTGGCCTAAAGGTAACTGATTTTACAACGTCAATTATGTCACTCCGACTTTCATGGATTGGAAGATTTCTAAGCGATAATTTTTATCCCTGGAAAGCGTATCTATTACATTTACTAAAACCTTTTGGTGGAGAATTTTTTCTTCATTGTGATTATAATATTAATGACTATAACATTTCCCCAATATTTTATAAGGAGATGTTACACTGGTGGTCAGATTTTCGTTCTAAATTTGATCTTGTAAGTCTACGTGAAACAATCATCTGGAACAATCATAACATTAGAGTAAACGGCAAACCTTTATTCTATTATAATTATAATAGCGCAAATATTATTCTTTTAAGCGACTTAAAATTTGATTTGAGTAACACAGAGTCCTTTAACCTTGCAAAACGTAATGGTTTAAAAAGATTCCAACTTTCTGACCTGGACTGGTGTTCGTTGCGCAGTACCAAGTCATCTAAGAATTCGATGCCACGAAATTAAGAAAGATCATGTCAGATCACTGCAATTTAAAATCGGTGATAAAATCTTTGATCCAGCACTTAGCAAGTCCAGGGATTTCTACGGTTTGCTTATATCCAGTAAGGCGACAGAGTCCAGAGGCTTCACAAAGTTGAAATCTAAATTTTCTATTGATGATGTGGAAACAAAAAAGGCCTTCTCATTAATAAGGTCCTGTATCTGCGAGACATATGTGCAATGCTTTCAATTTAAAATACTAAATGACATTTTATTCACAAATTCCCGCTTAGCTAAGATAGGTTTAATACAAAGCGATCTTTGCACTTTTTGCAATACTAGTGCGGAAACAATTGATCACTTATTCTTTTACTGTGTTTACTCACATGCATTTTGGGAAGAATTTGAATCTTATTGGATCGCTATAGCCAAAGAACAAAGGAAACTTGAGTTAAAGACTATTTTAATTGGTGTCACAGATACTAATTGTTCTTTATTTAATTACTTAATCGTTTTAGGTAAGCTACATTTATGGAATTGCCGTAGGAATAATAGTCTTCCTTTTTCCCTTCGTATAAGGAACTAGTTAAAAGAAAATATGAAACTGAATGTCACATTGCGGCTAAGTTTAATGATAGGAAGATGTTAGAGGCTAAATGGAAACCCATTTTGAATTATAATTTAATAGATACATAGGTGTGTAAGCGAAAAAAAAAAAAAAAAACTGTAAAAGTAGGGTAAGAATTGCAGTCTAAGGAAGTATTATATAGTAAGTAGAATAAGTAACGTCTTGTAGGTGGTATTGTAAGTAGTGTTCGTCTTGTTTTGTAAAGTAGTGTTTTTCGTGTTGCAATTAAAAAAAAAAAAAAAAAAAAAAAAAAAAAAAAAAAAAAAAAAAAAAAAGAAGATCTTGATTGTTAGACAAATTCTCAAGGTGAGAATCTTAGGAAATGTTTAGAGAACAGTATGAAGAATATGAAATCAATACTGATTTTAAGGTGTTAAGGGTTAAGCTGTCACCCCACCATTCCAGGTGGGTGACCACTTAATACAAGTCCAACTGTACTTCTGATTTGGTGGCTCCTTTTGTTCCCTCTTGTACTTGATAATTTTCAATCGCCTTCTTTCCACATTAGCCATAAACCCACCTGAGGAGCCCAGTCATTCACTTCTTGATCTCAGTATCGTTAACCCCTTTTTGGCTATCATAAATTTCATTTAATGAATAGAGGGAAAACACATCAAACTGTGGTAATTAAGAACAAAAAAGTGGCACTCGAGGAGCAGCTGAGTGTGTCACTGATGTTCTGGCCACATTTTGATGTTGTATGTTTTTCATTACTGTACAGACCCAAGGCAACATTAATCTGTCTATTTCATATGATAAAAAGAAAAATTTTGTTCATGTTTATGTCATTTGTACTTAGTTAAACCCTTGGGACGAGGTTCAATTCAAACCCACTCCCTTTTCTCTCCCAATTTTTAAAACTTTTCACACCCAACATCCAAATACAAATCCTTTGCATTGTCTGCCTGACATTTTGTATAATGTTGACTCTAAGTGTTAAATAAATAATACTGCCTTTTTGTTTACTTTATTTCCTCTCACTACCTGTTTGCTTGATAATGTAATGATGTTGAATAGTGAATTTCCTTCTTGATCTTTCACACAGGTGAAGGGGCAAATTACCTTTTAGCAATTGAAACTGTTTAACTGATTATGCGAGCTACCATTGATAGACTGGTTTCAACATAGTCCAAACACAGTCATCAATTCAAGGTGATTCTTCTTTTTTATTTTTCTCAGAAAAATCATTTTCTAACTCTCTACCACAAACACTCAGTATTCTCCTCTTTTCTGGATTTTCCATGGTGTGCTTGAACCTTAACCAACTAAAAAAGAGGTCAATTTTTGTGTTATTACAGAATGCTAGGAGACCACAAGTGCTGTGTCTTATTGTCATTCACAAGTGTTTATTAAATAGCTTTGAAACATATGGAAAAAATTCAAACTTAAGTCAAATTCTCAAATAGTGAAATACTAAACAATAAAGTTACATCAGCACAGTAAGTGAATAGTAGCTAAGTCTGAGAATCATCTATTTACTAATACAAAAATCATCAAACAGTGGATGGCAAGCAGTAGCCTCTGGTAAATAGGGAACTAAGATGAAAGATAGTAAAACTACTTGACAACATTCAACATTTGAACATGAAAATTAGACCATAAATAAATTGTCCTCCTAAACAAAAACACTTCAGAAAATTTAATTAAATTTTAAAAAGACACATTTAAAAGAAAGAAACTGTTCAACACACTCAAGGTACATGTAAATTACTGAATCAGAATGACTTGTTGGAAATGGTTCTCGTTCTTTGGCAACAAATTTTGCAATTGTCGTTAAACATTAGCACATTAAAAAGGAGAACATAAGACTACTGGAACTCCCACAATTTAGCTCTGGTTTAAAATTTTTTTGGTCAATGCTTCTTTTTGTTGTCCACCATATTGCCATCTGTATGGTTTGCGTCAGGCCTCTCATCCTCTGGACCTGACAGTTCATCATCACTACGTGTGTCTTTTTCCACCTAACAAAATTAAGAAAGCAAGAATAAGGAAAGAAAGGAAAACTTTACTGACTTGTACACTGCAAGAGGCCTTCTATAAGGCAAACATACGTTGTCATGCCACATCCCTATTTCTTATGCCTACAAATTTGAATCAATAACAAAAAGAAAACTAATAGGGCATCCACAATCAAGAACCACAACCACAACCACAAAAATTTGAATGGTATTCTCCTTCAATCGGCCTCACCAGAGGCAACTAGAATATTTTTGGGCCTATCCCTCTCTCCCTTTGGCCTGATTCAGTTTGGCCCATCCTCAATTCCCTTGGAAGTAATGATCTTCATTGACATCAACCCCACCCCCCTCCACCCTGACTTAGCACAAAAAGATCTATTACTCACCGTTCCCTTAACCAAAAACTGCATGGCCACCTCAGCAACCTTATATGACCAAATAACATGAAGAACCTGAACATAGTGATCAAAATAAAAAAGACAAAAGAACTTTTAGAGTGACAACAATTTGAAGGGTTGTCGCATGTATCACATATTGAGATCTCATGGAAGGTTTAAGTAGGTAACTCTTGCTCATTTTCACACAGCATTTTCTCAAAATTTATACAGAATACATAATATACTAAATTATCCTGCTGGCTTAAAAGAGCTGAAACCATCCTGCCAACCTTTTGGTTATCTGGGGCAAGCAGATTGTTGAACTAAACAAGTAACTTTCTTTGCTTGCTTCACCATTTGGCAAAACTCATACATAGCATGGTTCAATTAATTTTAAAAGCACAAATTGGAGTTCACATTGCTCAAACCCTGGGCCAGGTCACAAGTTTAGCTGTCAAACTTCTCACTTGGGGCATGTAAATAATGGATTTAGCAGTACCTGCAGACATGACAACAAACCAAAGAACCATGACCATGCTTTAAAAGGACCCACATACTCTTGACAGTGGTATACAACATGCAAAACCCTGTTTAAGTAAAGAAATACATTTGTGTTGTAAAATGTTGGGGTCAATTTTTAAATCAAATACCTACGCTGTCTGTCAGTCATTTGGCAAGTCCCTAGTTTGTTTAGTCAGTCAGATGGTTTGTCAATCAATCAGTGAGTCATGAAAATCATTCAGCAATTAATTTAGTCAAATGCACAGGCCGTCATTGTGGGTTAATGTGGTCTCTCAATGTTGGGATCCTTCAACTCCTGAACAATTCTCCCCTTTGCAGCAATACATTACCTTTACCTATTTTTTAGTCTAATAATAAACACCCTTTGCCTGATAAGTTTGTCTTTTCCTGTCACCTCTCCACCATTACAATTGTAAGGGGACAGCAAACTTACCAGAATGGATAATAAACCAGCCTTGTAACATTGAATATCACAGCAAATAACACAAATATTAAGTTAGTTGTAGCTTCCCACTTGGCGTAATTAAATACTTTTGCTGACTGCAACAAAAACAAAAACAAAAAAAACAGAATTAGCAGTCATGGAATAAAATATTTCCAAACAAAACCAATAACTTAAAGAAAACGACAACACTTTTGAGTTTGAAAGACATGTTTTGACAGAGTCTTACAAACTCAAAAGTGTTGTCATTTTCTTTAAATTCTTGACTTGCCTGCTGATATCAAAAACCAATAACCCTTGAACCCCCAAGATCTGATTGTAAGTTCTCACCTCTAGCTGCTGCAGATTTCTTTGCAAATTAGTAAGGAGAATTTTGTGTTGGATCAAGATATCAATTTCTACCTGATACATTTGAGTATTCTCATTACCTGTTTGCCAGATAATTCACAGATATTATAGGGAGTGGTTACATGTTAATCACTTCTAGGAGTTGAAGGGTTAAAGGAGAGATATGCTCCAGATAATGATCATTATTTTACATTCAACTCAAGATCTCTTTTCTGATTGGCCAAAAGTCTACAGTGAATTGTCAAAATCAGCGCCTACGACGTCATCTAGCTGCAGATTATATAATAATCACATCGAGGGCACTTAAGGTCACGGGTAGTTATATCATGTATGACCAGGATGCATGATTTCTAGGGGTAATCATGTTGAGGTCATGTGCATTGTGTTGCTAACTGATTTGTATATTTTTACACATTTAGAAATTAATTACCTGTTCTTCTTACTGTCATGACCATTTTTTTTTTTCACTCAATGTATAACAAAACAATCATAAGATTTAGTTTTTGTGATATCCAGAATAATCAAGGCCTTGGTAAGGGTTATCAGCCTCAGCCTTCCACTTCAGCTGATAACCCCTGCCTCAACCTTGATTATTCTGGATATCACAAAACCCTTATCTGATAATTGTTCATTAATAATGATATTTATTAATAACAACAAAGATTTTCTGCAGTAATTGTTAGTAAGAGCAGTCATTTGTGCACTTTTCTTGCTTCAATTTGTTCTGCCATTTGGCAAGTTTGACTAGTGTGCTACGTTGTTTCAATGTAAGTACCCTCAAAATTGAATTTACAGCACATTTGGAGGCAATTTTTAAAAATTTCCTTGGGTTCTCAAATTGCAGAAAGTTTTACAAATGCAAATTTGCATTTCAGTGATAGAGATAAAAGTTATATATGGCTTGTTCATCCCTTTACACCCTAACATCAGCATGCATATTCTCCATACTGTTCTCCATACATTTCCTATGGCACTGTCAAGGAGAATTTGTTGAACAATCAAGAGCTTCTTTAGTTGGTGATCATTTCCTTTATTCTTGTGACCTTAACGTGATTCAAGGATGATATTGTGAGGAAAATATTAGATGCTCGTCACTCTTTGGGGTCAAAGGATTACCATACTCCACAAAACTCGAAAAGAAAATGTCAGTAAGTTTTTAGTTGAAATGCTAAAAAAAGTGAAAAAATGGTTTTTAATAATATTCCTCTCTCTCCTTATTCAGCATGAAGACTCACCTCCAGAAAAATATCAGCCAAGTCATGCAAAAACATTATCACGCTACCAATACGAAAGAAACCACTTGAGTATGAAAATACTGTCAACATGATTGTAACTACATGGTGGATAGCCATTTGCCAAAAATCCTGAAAACAGAAAATTTTGGTTTGATTTTAAACAAAACTTAGGCATTTTTCTAATCATTTTGAATATGGAGACATTGCATCAGGGAACAGAAATAACGACTCCCTGATCTTCATCTAATTACCCTTAAACTTATCTATTCACTAAATTAAGTTTCCTTCACCTGGTATTTAAAAAAGTAATCAATCAATTAGAAAAACTTTTTTGGGCAACTTAGATTTCTTAATTAAATCTTATCATAAGTTACTCAATCTATCAGCAAACGAGTTCCTCCCATGTGCTCCTATAACAGAAAGTTAAAAATTAAGAATGATAACTTTCAGAATACCACTTTGATCAGTACCAACTTCAGAGCTGCCCTCTTTTTTGTGTGCAAGTTACAACTTCATACTTTGATGATGGAATCAATTTTCATCTCCATTTATGGCTAATGGAATCCACATTATAAACTGATTTGTAGTTTGAAGATTTTGGAGTTAGCGGAATTAAGCAATCGCTAGCCTTGTACACTTGTGCGTGCTTTGCTGATGACATGTTATCAACAACATGTGTTCATGGCACAGGTTGCATGTAATTATGCAACAAAATATCAAAAGCTTCTTTGACGACTTTCCTTCCACTCAAAAGGGAACAGTTTTCTTGTATCTCTGTCACAAAGCACATTGTTTTGCGTTTAATTTTTTCTAGTTTCAGCCTTAATTTAGAAGGAAATGAACAACAACAAGAAACAAAAGTCATAATGAATGAACCACTGCTTCCTTAGGCCACCAGCATATCAAAAAATACTTCATTCTTGGAAAGACAAATTAAGATAAAAATGCGGTGCTGTTAACTTCTAATAGTAAGATTAATGATAAATTTGTGATCAGAAAACATAAAAGTTACAAACCTTTCTTTTGACATCCACAAAAAAAGAAATGAGAAGGGACATGTAGAAGGCTATTTCAACCACATAATACAAAAATATTGCATCTGTAAGAGGCTGGAAAAAAAAGAGAGAAACCAGGAGTCAGTTGGAGACAACATGGATGAATCTACATGGTTAATAACTATCTCAAACTTACGAATGAATGAATGAGTGAATGATTTTCAAGTAGTTTTGCGTTACTAAAGTAACGCATCTGGAGAATATGATAATACAGAAAAAACTAGTTGAAACTCATTGAGACCAACAATTAATTTGTTAACTGCAACACATGTACTACTATACTAATTATGTTCTAGTTACGAGTTGTGTTGACAGAGATTTTCAAAAATATTTCATTTGCTATGGGACAAAGAAGTGATAATGTTCCCTTCATTTAATCACCCATTTTCCCAAATATTTCCAATCTTACTTTACAGTTCTTTTGTACAATACATAAAATGTCTAACCTGTTCTCCAAAACCAACAAAACAGAGTCGCAGATCCCAAAGCCAAGGTTCCTGAAAATTTGAACATCTCAAAACTTTTTATTTTTGCCACAACCTAATTATCTTCGGTTTTTTTTTCTTAAAATATCATCCAGGTCACCACTGAAAAATCTTGAAATGCTTATTTTTTTAAAAAAAAAATTAAGCTTCTATTAGAGAATGAGTTGCTCAAATATGTTGAAAAACCATATGTTAAAATAAAATTACCTTGTATAATATAACTATTCCATAAATGGATGTCGCCAAATAGAACAAAAATCTCCAACTACAAAATAAATGAAAAGATAAAAGAGTGTGCTGCCTAAAACAAGAATACATTTGACAGTCTGCCAGTCCCCACTGATAGTCCTGGAATAGAACTAACCCAGAGGTTAATTTTAATCAAGGTTTGGTTATTCTTTTGCTGAAAAGCCATCTGTCAGAAAATTTTCTGTATTCTTTTTAAGGCATCCAATCATTAAATTGTAGACAAAGAGAATTATACTGAATTTTTTTCAAGCTTTCAGATCTGAAATCAGATTTCACACTAATCCTGGGTTATCCTAGCCAAGCTTTGAACAACTCAGCCCTAGGTGGAAAGAGACACTGTGTGAATCAAGCATCAAGCCAAGGAACACAACACAATAGCTCTATCAGGTCTTGAGCTTAGACACCTCAAGTTCAGAGCACTAACTGTCAGGCTACCATAGTAACTAGATTTTGTAGCTTTAAGATTTTAAACCACTATTCTAAAACTCTAAGAGAACCTGTATAGTTTTGCTGTCTACATCCTGCAGATTCATAGAGATCACAACTTCAAGTCCTGTCTCAGCCATGAATTCTTTGATTTAAAGTTTATTTTGGTCCAAAACAACAGTTCCCAGACTCATGGCACAATTAAGAAATAAAATGACAGAGATCAAAATATTACGCACCTGCTTTCAGTAGCCTTCCTCATAATGGATGGTTTTGATTGCTGTCGGCGATTTTTGAACCATCTTTTCACTTCACGTGGAGTCCAGCCAAGTTGTTTTGACAGTCCCTCTACTCGTTCAGCGTTGGGGCATTTGCTGATTGTTTGGTAAACCTTCTCACAAAATGTATTTTCTACAAAAACTATAGGTTCCTCTGTTACACCAAGGTAGCCTGCCAAAGGTGTTGCAATGAATCTAAAGAGCAGAGAAGGAAACCTTGTTATAAGGAAATCAGATAAAGAGAAAACAGGAGCTGGTTTAAATAAAGTAATGTTTGTTCATTGGATAAATGAACCAACCATCTGATGAAAGTGAAGACAAAGAATTTTTATGTGTGAGCCTAACTAATTTAGTATGCAGACCAAGAGCTAATTTCTAAGAGTACTTAATCTTGTGCACCATATAAAATAAGCTGGGTTCACACCTCCAAAAATTCAATTTTGTGTGTCTGTAACATCAATTCCCCTCTTGTTTTGGCTCTCTCAATGCAACTCATCCAATAAATAATCTGGTCATAGCATATAATGAAAAGCCGGAGCAAAAATATCAGATATTTTTCGAAAATGGGGATCAATAATAGTACAAACAGAATAAGAAAGATGGTAAGTTTTGAGCTTGGTAAGCAAAAGGAAAAATATATTCTTGGTCTTGTCATGAGCATTGGACAAAGAAAAAATTCTAAGTCACCATAAGGAATTGAACCTCACACCTTCAGATTCCGTGCTCCAATGCCCTACCATTGTGCCACAGAGACTCTACGGCAAGCAAGGCCCAACATGAAGTTCATATGTGACATGTATTCTGCAAACCGCTGGGATCAGCAATGTCCTTAGCATTATGTTTATAAATAGAATATGAAAGATGGTAACTTTTGAACCTCAGACCTTCATGGGGACTCCAACTTTTTTCTTTATCTCATGCTCATGACAAAACAAAAAACATTTTTATCTATCAATAATATTATTGGTGTGGTGTGTTTTTGGCAAAGATAAAACCATAAGGAGCAGGAGCAAGAATAATTATATTTGGCAGGATAAGTCACTCTACCCACACATCAAGCCATCATAAATTACCCCCAAGTATTTTCTTGGACTCAGAACTCATTTGCCCTCATTATTGAAGAATGGGAATGTTAAGTGTCCATCCTACCGATCTCACTGGAGAAAATGAGGTTGCAAAACCTGCCACTTGAACTTAACATGAGGAGCTTTGGCTCTGAAAAAAATTCACAGCATGCATTCTACGGAGGCTCTATATTTCTGTCATCAGTGTAGAGAATTACATCAATGTTTGCGGTCGGTAGGTGTCTATGCACAGGGTTTGAGCCAGGCCGCGCCATTGCGCCAATCCCGCATTGCAATTGAAATTGTCCCTTAAAAAACGGTCAAGGGGACAATTTGTCCCCTTCAAAGTTTAGGGAAAAAACTCGAAAGGAAGCACACACGAAGAGTTTTATCTCAGTACAGAAATTGCAAGCTAAAACAGAACGTGGAAAGTATATTTTCTTGCACGTTTAAAGGTCATTCTAAAGTCACGTTTCAGTCACACTCTACTGAACACGTACGTCTCATGCTCAACCAAGCGTGGTGAACGCACGTGGCAATCTTTACTACGCTTTTCACAAACATGCGAACTAAAAAGTTCAAAAGCCTTCACAATTACATTTTTCGCTGCCCTCAATCATAATTACGATCACAAGCAACGAACCTTGAAACACAGAAACACACGAAACGGATTGAAATCCACAAATCACAAACCATGACCTTTTGAACCCGTGAAAGTAAAGTTTTGTTTCCTAAGAGTTCCGTTAAGATGATTGACGGCAGCGAAAACGCAATCGTCAGTTGGCTTTTGGACTTCAAAATTCGCATGTTTGTGAAAAGCGCAGTAACATGTCACATGAGGGTTATTTTTAATCTCTTGCATACCCTCTTGGGTAGTGTATACCTGGGGGTTATTCATAATCTCTCCTATACCCTCTTGGGCAATGTATACCTAGGGGTTATTTAAATCTCTTGCATACCCTCTTGGGAAGTATCTACCTGAGGATTAATTTTTAATATCTTCTTTACCCTCTTGGGTAATGTATACCTGAGGGTTATTTTTAATCTCTTCTATACCCTCTTGGGTAGTGTATACCTGAGGGTTATTTTTAATCTCTTCTATACCCTTTTGGGTAGTGTATACCTGAGGGTTATTTTTAATCTCTTCTATACCCTCTTGGGTAGTGTATACCTGAGGGTTATTTTTAATCCCTTCTAAACCGTCTTGGGTATTGTATACCTGAGGGTTATTTTTAATCTCTTCTATACCCTCTTGGGTAGTATATACCTGAGGGTTATTTTTAATCCCTTCTAAACCATCTTTGCTAGTGTATACCTGAGGGTTATTTTTAATCTCTTCTATACCCTCTTGGGTAGTGTATACCTGAGGGTTATTTTTAATCTCTTATATACCCTCTTGGGTAGTGTATACCTGAGGGTTATTTTTAATCTCTTCTATACCCTCTTGGGTAGTGTATACCTGAGGGTTATTTTTAATCTCTGCTATACCCTCTTGGGTAGTGTATACCTGAGGGTTATTTTTACTCTTTTCTATACCCCTCTGGGTAGTGTATACCTGAGGGTCATTTTTAATCTCTTGCATACCCTCTTGGGTATTGTATACCTGAGGGTTATTTTTTATCTCTTGTAGACCCTCTTGGGTAGTATACACCTGAGGGTTTTTTTAATCTCTCGCATACCCTCTTGGGTAGTGTATACCTGAGGGTTATTTTTAATCTCTCCTATACCCTCTTGGGTAGTGTATACCTAAGGGTTATCTTTAATCTCTTGCATACCCTCCTGGGTAGTGTATACCTATATCTAATCAACACAGTTTCTGGACTTTAAAAGTTAAAGACCATGACCTGTATAAAGAAGCAATTTCTTTTTCTTTTCCAATAAAAAAGTGTTAACTGATCCACTAGATCTGGCATTCTGTAACATCATTTTTTAAAAATTTATTCATAAAATTTAGGTCAGTTAGCCAATCCATGAAGGTAACAGAAACATTTGAAATAGCTGTCAAAATTCAGTGGCCACTCCATAAATACATACAAAGCAAACCAGTACGACCAAATTTAAACAAAAAAATTAACTGCTTGATTTTACAGTAAACCTGTGAAGTTTACTGCTAAGTTTGGAGATTTTCCTGTAGAGTCCTAGCCAAACAAAGAAAAATTTGATAACAAAAGTTACCTCAAAAAAAAAAAAATTACCATGTAGAATGAGGATGCATGAAAGACTACATTTGCCATTAGAGTGTTTGCTCTGCTCCACCTTAATAATGAAATTTCAATTACTATCAATAACACATCTGCTTGGAGGGTAAATAAATGCAAAAAGCTTTGGACAGCTGAGAGCTAGCACATATCTACATGTATTTGCCAAAATATACACAAAACTTTTTAAGTCAGAGGGTTGTTTACACAAATGCAAAAAAATCATGAAGAAGCCCTTCACTATTACCAGATGAAGTTTGGTTTAGGCAAATAATTATCAAATGAATATGTTTGCCACTATAAAATCACAATCTTTTGTGAAAACTGATTTTTTTTTTCAAAAATAATAATTAATAAGAGAAACTACCAAGCTTTATATCCATAGTCCTTTCTGGGAATTACCCTCTGACAGCTTAACACCTTGGAAGTGATTAAAATGTAACTTCTCCCTGTAATATCCATACATTACCCAGCAAACAGGTAATAAGAATACTCAAACTTATCAGGTAGAAGTTGTTATCTCAATCTAGCACCAAATTCTCCTAACTAATTTATGATGAAATGTGTGGTAGATGGAAGGGAGAATTGACAATCAGATCTTGGGAGTTAGAGTTAAAGAAGCAATCTCCCAATGGAAAAGAAGAAAAATGCATTGAATGGTAATGAATGTTGGTTGAGAGAACATAGCGTCAGCATCAACAAACTTATGCTGCTTTACTGTCCACATTAACAACAAAAAAAGATATAAAATATCTACTCAGAAGACACCTATACAAAAATATGTTTACTTTACACTTACTGGTGGACAGATGTCATAAATGGCTTAATATATATGAAGACCTGTAACTAATATAAATAAAAAAAACCTGGAAATGGATTCAGATTTTGAAGTTATTGCTCAGCAATTATCTATTTATCAGATCTCACTGCATGATATCCAACATAAAGAAAAATGAACTCAACAGGGAACTCTTCAAGGTTTTTCTAGCTTATCGCTGAAAATAAATACTTTTGGCAACCAGAAAACGATTGAACATGTTTGTCAAAAGAACGTATTGTTAATGTCCAGAGTAGTTCTCGACAAATGACATGCAAATCAGATCGGCTACGCTTTTTGTGGGACAAAGAACGGACCACTTAGTACAGCTACACAGAAATAGAACAGGTGTTTCCAAAGCAATGAATGTTATTAATTTTTTGGATACAAAACGAAATCATGTCAATTTCATGCTTCTCATGTATAGGTCACACCTAGAGTTTAAAGCTTTGGTTTGACATTTTGTCTCAGTGGTTGTCAGAAACGTGCGGTTAATGTTAAATTTTGATACAATAGGACGAAGAGGCCTTTAAACGTGGTTTGTTGGGGTCAATAGAATTTTGCTGAGGAAAAATTCACCACGGAGGGTGGTAACATCCGGAATAAAACGAAAAATCAGATGAACTACGACCTCATCTATACTTCACGTTGAAATGTTGACGTTTGACTGGATTTGTAAATAAATAAATACCAAATTCTTACATTAATGAATTGAAGGGAAATAAATTCATGCTCACGATATTAAATCGCTACCTCCTTAAAATTTTCAGGACGAATTTACTTTCACTACATTTGTAAAATCCAATGATCACAGTCTACCTTGGAGAAAATACTGTCCCGCTCGTGCTTATCTCATCTGCTTGGACAAGTTAAGTTTTCAAAGCAAAATCGCATTGGATCACAATGATAAACACTGCTAAACGAAATGTGAATTTTCATTGTCAGAAGTCTTGGTTAAAGACAGAACACGTCACACAAAAATAAAGCCGAGGTGTGAACCAAAATCTAACACAACAACTATACGATCAAAGAGTGTGTAGTCCATCAACTAACCTCTCGAAGAGAAATCGTAGAGCGATCAACACCACAGCAAAGGGAAAGCATAGAAAAAGCTCGCCATTTTGGACCCACTTATGTTTTTTCGCTTGCTCTAAGCTCTCCCAAGTGGAATATTCTGGTAACCAGAAATTTCTGTCCCAAAACCACGCTCTCAGGCTCAGCAGCTGATCCGCCATGACCTAGGAATCCCTATGATATGACACACTTGTTTCCCACAAAACCCTTCACGCCTTCTTGAGACAGTTCATTTATTTTACATAGCCATCGTGTTTAAGTTCATAGGACGCCATGTTGGTTGTCAGGGAAAAATTGTGATTGCGAAAAATCTAGAATACGAAATGGCCTACTGCAACTTATGGGAAGATCGAGATGTACGTTTTGACATCACCTTACAGTAAGTTTGGTTTTAGAATCCACAGATACTTGAACTCTGTCTTGTGCAAATCAGATCGATCTAGCAGGGAGCATGCAAGCATTGGAAAGCCCACTAATCACTTTGTTTCCTTTCTTGTTACAGACAAATGCAGCTTAGACCAGGAGAGGTAATTGTAGAGCTTTATTTCCTTGATTCAATTGATTAACATAGTATTGCTTGGTTAATAATCACTAACACCTCGCTATGTAAGCCTATAATAAAGAAACTGGTTCCAAAATTGAGAGGCTATATTATGGAGAGTGAATAAAATGCATGTCTTCCGTGTTAACTTGTCATTGATTTTATCATTTAAGGAGTTAATTGACAAGCTTGATTCAGTTGAAGATACCAAGGGAAATAATGGTGATAGAGGTACGGTACTAACTGTTAAATTTAATTGTCACGCAATTACTTAAAAAGTACTGTACAGTTAATTAGTGTATTTACGTTGATCGGACTCTGTGAATCATTTGCCTGATCGATCGTCTTATAAACTGCTCACATGGTGCTCCCATGGTTCTGTGACTGGTTTAGGCTTTTCCTGTGAGCCCTTAACTTTAGCATACAATGGCAAACATTTGAGATGTACATAAATTCCAATCTCGTCAAAGAGACGTTTCCTTCGTTGTAGCCACCCCACTCCCATCCCCTCAAATGCCCTTCAGATTGAAGATAGGGAATTGTGGGAGATTTTGTTTCCAGGATTTTTCCTTCCTTATTAATTGTACAAATGATCTTAAAATTAATGTTTCTAATCAAATAGCCAGTAGAAAATTGCATGTGGGTACTAATGCCTTTTTCTGGTTTCTTATCCCTTTTTTTTCTCCAGGAAGACTTCTTGTCACTAACCTTAGACTAATATGGCATTCACAGAGTATGCCCAGGGTAAACTTGTGTGAGTAACATTGATTTTTGTAGATTTTATTCAGCCACTCTAATTTCAGCTTCCTGGAGGAGCTTACCAAAAGAATTAAGAATATTTATTGTTCTACTTCAGAGATGTCATCCTCTGAAAATCTGGAATAGAAAGATTGCTTCCCTGACCCTCTCTACTCACACTAAATTTGTTTCTTGACCCTTCCATTTCAGTCTTAAGTTTGCACAAATGATCCAAAAGCAAAAATTGAACTTGCAAAATTAAAACTGCAGTCCTCAACTATAAAACCCAGTTATGTGTTTTTTTGTTGAGTTGATTTGCACTCTTTCATAGAATTTTCAGTAGAAAATGTTTTGAACCCAGAAATAATTATAGTCTTGTAGTCTGGTCCTCAATGTTAGTTTCTCCAAACAGGACTGTTTTCAATGAAAGTGATTGATATTTTGCCGTTTTGAATGGAAAATGGAAAAATAAAAGTTTGTTTTTGCAAAAATCCACAACTTGCATTAAAAGACATATTTGATCTACACCTTTGTCTAATTTGCTAGAGTACACCGAAAAAATCTTGTGTCAGTCTTCTAACTAAAAATAATTTATAGTTTTTGTTTCTATTATTGCAGCTGTTGGGTTCAGTTGTGTTGTTAATGTGTCTACCAGATCGGCAAATTCAGTATGTATGATAATTTTTTTTAACGTGACCATCATTAACTTGTTATTAAAAGCTAAGTTAAACATATTTCAAAATTATGCAGTCACTATAACCTTTAAGTTACTAATTTTGTTTCATAAACAATTCAGTTTTGGTTTTCTTTTTTCAGTTGATTTATCAAATTTTATTCTCACCAACAATGCATTTTAGGGTACAAAGCAGAAGTTATCAATCAAAAAGAAAATGATTTTTCTTTGAAAAAATGAATGTCACATTCTTCCCTCACCCTTTTTTTTTTGTCTTATCCAATTTACAAATTTAGAAACTTCGGGGACAGACAGAAGCTCTATATATCTTAACAAGGTGTAACAACACAAGGTTCGAGTTTATCTTCACAAATCTGGTAAGACTTTTTTCACATTATCTGCACTTTGTTTTGTTTAGTAGTTTCAAGCACTTGTTGGGAAAGATATGTTTTAATATCCACAGGGTGAAGCAGGTCAAGTCTGCTGATGTACTGCAATTTATATTGGTAATAGGACTGAATGGAGTCTAATTCAGTCTGTAAATTTAGTACAAGTGATGAACAAAATTGGATGACCAAAAAGCAAGAGTCTGATTTGTTAATCATAGGTATGATCAGAGATAAAAAAGGACAACAAGAAGTCCTGTTATCAATTAATCAAATCCATGACAAATTTTGAGAAAGAAACTAGACAAAGCTGATATACATTTTCATTGAAAAAAGAAAACAATGGTTAACTTGCCTGGCAAAATGGAGTTTAAATCTGGGCCGGGTTTTCCAAAACAAGGATTAACTAACCCAGGGTTAGTGTGAATTTTTAATTTAGTTTTTATAGCTCTGCAAAGGGATTTTTTGTTCACATTTCCCCTAGTAGTTTCAAGGTATACTGAGATGAAACCCAACAAAACCTTAACTCTCAAACATGCTCTTCTACGCCAGAAATTAAAGCCTAGATTAACTTTTAAACCTAAATTGACGTTAACCCCTTTTTGAACAACCTGGCCCTGTTAATTAATTGACTTATATATATTTTACATTTACAGGTTTCTGGTAGTCCCAGACTTTTTACAACAGTGATTTCAGTTTTCAGGTATGTGGAGAGGAACTTTGAGTTATCAATTACCTTGGCCTCCTTTTTTTCTCATTCTTTAGTGATTCATTTCTGAAAAATGCCCTCTCTTATCAGAGCATATGAATCTTCTAAGTTGTATCGTGACTTAAAGCTTCGTGGGGCACTGATCCTTAATAAACAACTGCGGCTCTTACCATTGGAGCAAGTTTATGATAAGGTAATGTGGGAATGTTTAATTAAAATTACTATATTATAGCATTTGAGAGTTTTTGTGCAGCTTATTGCATCCCAGAAGATATGCACATGTTATCCAGCCTCCTTTTATAAAGTTTCTTGGTAATCATATGCATGTTTAAAATGATTGGAAAATCATTTTAATTTATCAAGCCTCCTTGTATAAAGTTTCTTGGTAATCATATGCATGTTTAAAATGATTGGAAAATTGCTGTAATTTTTAAACCAAAATTAAAAATGAAGAAAATCTTTCTGCTCTGTGGAACTACTCAGGTTGTCTTTTTCAGTTGTGTTCTGAATGGATGTGTTAAGAAAGTCAACATTGTTGGGTATTAGTTGCAACATGCATGTTAAGTGTCTTGATATGGAGCAAAAGACAATAACTCATAACCACCTTTAATCAATTTAATTTGGTATTATCAACTGAGTTGATAAGTGAACATAAATTGGCCCCTGTTATACACTATGAACTCAAAACCCATGAAAATCTTGTGAAATAATTCATTGTAAATTCACAGATTTTTCACAGGATTTTCATGGTTAAATCAATGACATTTTCATGGTCTCAGTGCCATGAAAAAGACCTGAAAAATCCCATGAAAAACCTGTGAAAATTTCCATATTCACGACCCATGAAATATTGAGTAAAGTGACCTAGAAGCCATGAAATACCCATGAAAATGGCATTTCATGGCCTTTTCAAAGGTACTGAGAAACTCATGAATTTCAAGCCCAAAATTTCATGGTGTCAAAGTTCACTAGTTTTTAATGGGTTGCAGCAAATCATGACCCATGAATATCCTGTGAATATGTTAAAAATTCATTGACCATGAAAATTTTCCTTGAATTTTCATGGCCTCTACATGGTTTTTTTCATGGCACATGAAAGTAAATTGCCAGTTAGTTTTCATGGGGTTGTTAGGAATATGCAAGCACCATGAAAATTCTTTGGAAACCCTATGAATTTGGAATTAAAAATTCTTCACTTTTCTTTGTACCAAAGACTGTACTACAGCATATAGCTTGCAGTATACCATAACTTTAATACATACACCATCACTTAATTTATACACTGAAGAACTAACCTATCTGTGAAACTTCTTGGTCCTGTTGTACAAGCACACACACATGAAAGAAATGACCAGAAGTCTGGATTCTCTGATAGTTTATTTTGTTTCACCAGCTGTACATAAATATTACTTTAGGATTCCAAAATTGTGATAATTCAGTTTACACTTTCTTAAATAAAAAAAGTTGGTATGAAATTTTCTGCATAAAATTAAGATGTTAATGATTTTTAGCTCTATTTTGATATCACTGATTTTCCTTGTGGAGACAGATTCTGCTCCTATATTTCTGTTTATTTAAACTATTTTGAAGGTATATTATAAATAAATTTGATGTGAAAAATATTTGGACGAAATTATTGAAAATATACTCACTGGTTTGATGTATTTTTGTCTAAACTTCAAATATCATTTCCTTCGTCTAATATCATGTGTAAAATGTTATGGACAGTTATTATAATGTCTATTTATGTAATAGCATTCATGTAAATTTCTTGATATGTTTTACACTTGTGATCAATACTCTCAAGGTAACTAACAACAAAACAATTACCAATTTTCTGCACTCTTGCATGTGTGAAGATATATCTATGGCTGACTATGGCAGTGTCTCTCTGTTTTGGCCACCTGAATGTGCCATCCTTCTTTCGGTTATCATTACTATTTGCATCTTCATCATCATTTGGACCAAGATAGGCTGCTTTAGCAAGTTTGCATTTCCTTTCGTCAGTTTTGTAGACCAACACTCTTCACTGTTTGCAAAATAAAGGGAGCACATCATCAGTTATCTAAGAGCCTTTCTTATGTACGTAGTAAACCTAAGTGAGGTGAGGTATTTCGTATTCAGAATTTGACTGTATTTTTTATTCCTAAGAACGGTCGTAAGTATTTCCATACAAACTCTTGTGATGTTTCGCCAGATGATTACAGAATAAAAATTTTTAAGTTAAATCAATAGTTAGCGCGCACGCTCCGATGTTTACGCGTAATAAGATGACCAAGCTTGAACTTACCCCTTCACGTTGTAATGCATATCGATAACTTCATCTTGAGGAAACCTCTTTGAAAAAACTTTTCAGACGGTCCATTGCGTTGATCTGGAAAAAAAGAGACTGCTACACAAACACTACGAGAAATGCAATTGGAATGGAACCATTCCGTTCGAGGTACGAAAAAAACCGCCACTTCTTCGTAAATCACGTGTACTTTCAAGTGGTGACCTTAGGTCATCGCAGCCATCATAGGTCAGCGGTCACATAGTGACCTCACAGGTTATCGTGTTCGACGTTACGAAATGACTCCGAAGAGGTCTTGTTGCTGCGTCTGTAATCTTACAAAATAAAGCAGCACAAAAAGCTGTTCGGTATTTGGAATTCAAGCAAGTAACAATCGACAGGACATCAGAGTCCAAGAAAGTCAGAGCTGACATCGAAAGTGATTCCTGTGAAAGCGATCACGAAATCAACAACGATGTTGTAGAAGGCAATCTCAATGAATACATGAAGGTAACGCGTTCATCCCGACTGAGAAGATGGCGTGACTCTGTTAACCGGCGATTCTATGAACGAGGTGAAAATAGCATTTTTTTCAGGTTACATTTGCACACTATTCAAAGTTCCAAATTGAGGTGACAAAGTGATTGATTTTCATTGTTTTGTTCCACATTTCGTGTAGATGCAATGCGTACTATTGCTGTGCAATTTAAGCATCTGTACTCTGCAGCTGCCTTACGGGAAAAGCCCTAGAAGATTCCTCAGTCGTAAGAATGTAAGAGAAGGCCTTGAACAGGTTTCCAGAGTCATGGCTAATAATCAAAGCCAGCAGTGAGGCAGAAAAAAAGTCAACAAAGTCGTCCAGGCATGGCGAAGGCAAAAACGCCCCAAAAAATCAAAGTGAGGATCAAACATCTGGGTCATTGCCTCCAGCCCCATTTGTCTCAACAAAGGAGCAAATTGAAGATCCATTGTTTTTAGTCATTGTTTTGTGATTTCCTGTACATTTTACGTTAACGAAGGCCACTTAAGATGTTTAGGGACATTTTCATTCGACAGTTTTCGCGCTGTACACCAAAAATTCCATCAGTGGATAAATTTATAACAAGTCAGTTCCACGGATCATGAAAGTCAGCTCGTTGATAAATCAGTGACTGTGATGAACTCATTAATACCACTTTTAATGGCCTATGGATTTATCAATGAAATTCATGGGCAACAGATTTCAGGAATATTCATGGCCCATTAATTTTGTTCTCCCAAAACAAATAAATTGTTAGCCCATGAAATGCTGTTTGATTGCAATTCATGGGCATGAAATTCATTCTGATGACTTTCTGGGGAAACTAATGGGTCATGAAAGTAGACTTTGAAGAAATTCATGGGTCATGAAAGTAGGCATATAAAAAGAAATTCATGGGTCATGAAATTAATTCTGGTGACTTTCATGGCAAATCAATGGGTCATAAAAATAGACTTTGAAGAAATTCATGGGTCATGAAAAAAATTCTCCTAATTCATGGAAAATTCAGGGCTAAAAATAACCCCATGAAATTTCATTTTGCAGTATTCATGGGCCATGAAATGATCTTCATGGGTTTTTCACATGAAATTCATGGAATTTTCATAAAACTACAGTTCATAGTGTTATGAGTTTCAAAGCTGAGGTTTCAAGCATTAGCCCTTTCTTGGAGTACTGATGAAGGGCTAACACTCGGAATGTCAGCTTTGCCAATTTACAGGATCAATCCAGTTAACAATACCAGATTACCTTGTTTTATTCTCCCACTGATATGGCAGTACTGTGACAGTTTTTTAAGAATCTTACCCCTTTTATTCATCCACCTTTAATCATTATTCATTTAAATGTGTTTTTTATACTAGATAAATGGTGTCTGGAACCTCTCCAGTGATCAGGTACTGAATTTGTTGATTTTCTTTTCTCAAAAACTCTTCCTATGTTCACCTTCCCAAAGGGTGCCATTAGATAAGGAGAAAGCTAGTTGTTTATTTTAGTTGTTTTCTATTATTAACTGAGGTGATAACATAAATTTGCCACTGTAGAGAGTTTCAAAGCTGACATTTCAAGTGTAATAGCCCCTCATCATTCACTCTGATAAAAGGCTAATGTTCAAAATGTCAGCTTTGGAACTCTTTATAGTGGCCAGTGTACGTTATCAACTCTGTTCAACTTGATAATACTAAATTACCCAGTTTTACTTTCCCATGATTGTGGTATCACAGGTTCTTTAGAAACTAACCCCCTTTCATTGTTTTAGTGGTTGTTTAGGAAATTTCTTATCCTCTAGATGTGTCAATCCAGATTCTCACAATGTACATGAAAAGCAATGAATCTGAATTGATTCTTTACGCTCAAGCTCTTATATTGTAAATAGTGGAGGCTATAAGTAGCCAGACAATGATCAATTTAGAACTCTGCCATCCAAAACAAGAGCAAACTTATGGCAAATTGCAGATTTTGAAAACTAATTTTCCTTGCCCTGAATTTATCAGAAATGATTAAAATGTCATTTATCTCGATGGTATCTTGTTATTTAATTTTTATTATTTTTTATTAGTTAAAAACTTCATTAGCATTACTAGTGTTTAGGTGTTTAGAGATTCAGAGTGAGGACTGTTGAGAGGTTAATTTTCTGTTTTTGATGTTTCAGGGAAACCTTGGAACTTTTTATATTACCAATGTTCGCTTGGTGTGGCATGCAAACATGAATGACACATTCAATGTCAGTATTCCCTATTTACAAATGGTAAGTTCAAGTGTGAAATTCTTCTTGATTAGTAAGTATGTCTACATATTTAGGTATTTCACTTTTAATATAGTTAATTAGCTTATAAATTTAACATGAACAAAAATATTGAGTTAGTGCTTACTTAAATTTAACAATGGAATCACTTTTAACTTCTTGGAATTTTTGTTTTCTGACTGCTCTTGTCATGGACAAGTTCACAAACAACAACCAACCTTTAGCCCTTAAAACCCTAAGAGTGACCAGCTACTAATTTCTCCCTACAGTAATAGTGCTGAATCATTCATTAAGATCACGAGAATAAAGGGAAAGATCACCAACCAAAGAAGCTTTGATTGCTCAACAAATTCTCTTTGCCAGTACCAAAGGAAATGTACAGAGAAAAGAATGGAGAATATGGAACTGTAGTTAGGTTGTGAGGGGTTAACAGAAAACTCATTGCAGAAAAAAAAATAAAATAGACCTGATTTCCACTCTTAGAAATTGGAAAAAGATCCAGATTTTCTTTTATTTTGGAGGTTTCAATAGACTGCATAAGAAATAAGGAGATTAGATTGTATCAAGGGGAGTTCAACTTTGTATGACATGTTGGTATAATAATTGAGGTATTATAAATCACAGTGTTGGTGCTGTTTTCAACAGAGATCAGTCAAAATAAGGGATTCCAAGTTTGGACTTGCATTAGTTTTGGAAACTTCACAGCAGGTACTACTACAAACAACAGGCAAAAATGGTTAATTTATGGCAACTTTGCTAATATTCCTTAGTAACTTGAAATATTTAGCTTTAATCTCTCATAATCATTTTTGTGCAGATGAGGCAGTTTGTGGTTAACCAACTTTTAAATACTTGGTTTGAAATTTAAATAATTGAAAGAAATCCCACACAATTTTTTAAAGGGGAAATCCCAAAGATAGAGCATGCCATCCTTTAACCCATCGGCAAGGTGTGTCTTAAATCCTTTAAAATAGTTGTGAATAATCATCTTGATGCCTGACAGTCTTTGATTTTTGTGTGTTTGGCTGTTTAGAGTGGTGGATATGTACTTGGGTTCCGTATTGACCCAGGAGAGAAATTACAAGAAGCAGCTAAAGAAATTCAAAGTTTACAAAAGGTAATTGGTCACAGACTTGACATCTCTGTGTTACTTTTACACTATTGTTGAAAATGAACAATAAAACTGTGAATATTGACCACACATCACAACCCTTAAAGAACATCAACTATTTTGTAATAATTATTGTAATATCATTGTATGAAATAGCATCTAATTGACTGTTTTTGTTGCCGTTGTTGTTAATTTTCCAACATTCTGATATATTGTACCTTTTTCCTATTCTATCTTTCTTTCAGGTTTACAGTGCCAGTCCAATATTTGGAGTGGAATTTGAAACAGAGGAAAAGGTTTTCATCATTTTAAGTTTTCTAATCTATAACTTGTAAGGTTGGATATCTAAAAATTAGGGCCACTGTTGAGACAAGGAAACCAAGCTCTATCATGAGTTTTGGGACGTGTAGGAAGAAAATGATTGGAAATTCTTGTTCTGTTTATTTTGTATGTCCTTTGAGCCTCACTTGATGCAGAATTTTGACTTCTCAGAGGAGGATTGACTTAAATTTAACTGAAAATCTGCATTCCAGTCAGCAGTAACTCTTACCTTTTGTTCCCACATTTTGCTGTTGAGTGATTATTATTGTGTTTTTGTATTTCAGCCCCAAACAGTAGATGAGGTTACAGTTGACCCAGTCCAGGATGATATAGAGATTGTTAACGAGGGGGAAGGCACTGATGCCTTTGCAGTAAGTAGTCAGTAACTTTCTCTCCATATTTTCTAAACCTTTTTCCAAAATGGTTTGACCTTCCAGAATGACCAAACCTATTTGAGGTAACTGATCAACTCAAGAACATTTTGCCTAGCTGCTAATTTAATGCCATGTTTATCTACAGTGTATGGCTGGAAGAGATCACTTACAACCACCTCTTTGAAGAAGCCACTTTTGTTGTCCTCTAGATGGGAAAGAGTTTTTACTCTTTATATTATAGCCTGTGGTGGCTTCCCTGTTATAGCCAGTTATTAGATGCCACTGTGTCCACTGGTGGAGTGGCCAACCATTATCTAAAAGGCACAGGATCAATCCCTTCATTGTTTCAAATCCTAAATTTGTTGATTTCTTTGCCACAATGACTGTAATGTCAGCTTATCTCCAAGATCAATTTGTTTCATGCTGTCTCATGCACATTTCCAAATTAATTTGATATAATACTCTTTGTCACATCATTTGTTCTCCTTTAAGAATTATTCAGTCTTTATGGTATGTGACTGTGTATTTTTTTTTCTATTTCAGGCATACTTTGCTGATGGTGATAAGGTAGGTGTCCATGCCCTATGTTAATGCATTTGCCATCATAACACCAAAGGTATAAATTGAATAGCTCCTACATAGAAATTCTCCATTATAATTATTTCCAAAATGCAAACTACCCGATAAGCAGTTTCCTACGTACAAGTTTGATTTTGAAATACTGTTCAATTGTGTTTTTAAAGGCCTATGTTATACCAAATTCATTGGTGGAATTTCTTGTAGTTTAAAATAGCTCTGTCACTGATGAAGATTCAACATTTGAGGCTGGTGCAGTAGTAGTGAGATAAGTCATGAGGAGTAACGTGACTGGTAATTTTTCTATCTTTGTTCTTTGTAGTCAAGTGATCGTGAACCAGTGTATTCAGAGCAGCTGGGCCTAGCTGTGGAGAAATTAAAGGATGGCTTCACCTTACAAGGGCTCTGGGAAGTTGTCCCAACTCAATGAGTTTCATTCTCTTCATCAAATAAGTGGCTACAGAGTTGACTTTGCTTTGGCTGTGTAAATATCTGTATTCAAATTAATCCAGGAAATTGTACAAAACCCGTCAGTCAAAGGCCAGTCAAAAGGCTGGAACAAGTTCCTGTTCTTTAAATATTGTGTTAGTGTCTCCTAAGGTACAAACATGTTTCCTGTGACATTTTTTATTATTTTCTTGTAAATAGCTTGCTAGCCAATGAAAACTGTTATGAGATGAGCATGTGCATATATCAAGTGGGATATTTCATAGTAATTGTAGGTTTAACAATCAACAGCATTGACATGAAATTGTGAAAGTATTAATAGAGTGACGAAGTGATGCTGTGTCAAGCCTTAATTTATTTAAACTTAAAATAATAGAGACAATGGTTACATAGAGTACCAAGTTATCTGATATAAAATTGCTGAAAAGTGAGCTATCATGAGCTGAATGGTGTTGGGGAATTATTAAGGTAGAGGGGTACTTACTGGTAACAGAGTTTGGATTTACTGGAGTGCCAATGTCTAAGAAAAAGTGATCTTGTTAGGAAGAACTTTAAATTCCTCCCAGGATTGATCTTCAATTCCTCAGTAATTACCTGATTCTTAATCAGGCAATATTCCACAAGACTGAGATTGATAGGAAATTTTGTCTCTAAAAATATGTGAATATATCTGTCCACATTTTTGTTTCGCTTTGGGTTTTTTCTCTCATCTAACAGATCTATGCAAGTTATTGTATGTTGTTTACAGATAATGAATGTCAAGACTAGTACACCCACATGTGAACAGTATTAATTAAGCATTGAATGATATTTGCCAATGGTGATTTTCAATCCCCAATAGTCCCATTGAAAAGTATATAGTCTCATTATCCAAAGTCACTTATATAATCGATAACCCAGTTATTTTTGTCTTGAAAACAGGATAAGATCATAACTGCTCATACCACCTTGCAAAGTTTCCTACCAAATAACTAAAGTAGACTTCTGTTGTAAAAGTCAAAAAAGGTTAGAGCAACTGAAAAGTTGATCTGCATGCTGCACAGAATTCTGGGAGTAGAAGGCATGATGGACTTTGTCGAAAAAGGAAGGACTGCTCACAGTCTACTGACTGGGTGGGTTTAACCCATTAACTCCCACATCAAATTCTCCTTAAAGTCAACAATACAACACTTATGTTTGTTTAGAGAATTTATTATTAGATCAACTAATTATCCCTAAATTGATATTTTTCTTTAATTTCATCACTTCTCTGGTTGGTATAGTATTGATATTGTAAGGAGAAATTCTGTCTTGGTCACTCATGGGAGTTCAATGGTTATTACTGTTCTTTGATTTCAATTGGGAGAATGCTGTGCTTGGTGCTAGGTGACCCATTTCAGGCTTTTGTTTCTAGCAGTTTTTTCCTTGTGTCTAATAAGCAGTCACCAACTAAAGTTGTTCTAGAAAAGGAAAAAATGCTAGTCCAAAACACTGAGCAAGTCACAAACTAGACAACGTATCATGTTGACCACAACTTTTATTACAATTATGTTGATACAGGGTGTATAATAAATATAATAACATTTCTTTATTAAAAAATCATGCAATTAGCAGTTACAGGTTGTTTGTCAAATTATTAATCCATTACAATCAAGTCACTTGATTTTGTTTATATGTTGTCTTGTCTAAAGTAACAAGAAAAGTAAGAAGATGTATTTCCCTTGTCTTATTATAATCTAATAACACTTTAAACCTACCAAAAATTGTAATTATTAGCTAACAGAGAAGTCCAGGTTTTGTATTTTCTGAAAACTTATGATAATTTCACCTAAGTAAACTATTGTTTACTAGTTAGGACGATTAGCTCCGCGGTCCAAGGTGTGATACAATTAAATTGAAAACTTATCTGAAATTAGTTTATCACTCTCAGCAATAGCAGTTTTGGATCAAGGCTAAATCACAACAAAATAAATGTTCATACTACAATCATATACTTCACAGAATCACTCACAAGCATTCTCACAGTCATGTATAGGTTATGTTACTTCTTACAGCATCCTGACAACCATAACTTGTTACAATAAAAATCATTTTTCCTTTTGGTTACTGTTAGTTCACAGTAATCTCTACATGATTTGATCCAACTAGCAGAAATGCATTTTCATTCTCAACAGCCTTTTTTTACAGACCAGCTGTAGTTAGTTAATGGCCAGCATTCACAACAACTTCAAGGAGCTGTTCTGCTATATTCCAAATTTAACCAGTGGACAAATCAGATATTCTTGCAGTACTGTTAATGTTCATAATTAGTTACTATAAGTAAGAATCAATTGCTTTTCAATTGAGTCTTACAAAACCAGCAAGAAACCAACAATTAAAGTTATCACAGCAGCTGATTTGAATAAAGAACTCAAAATGTGAAGCTGACAAGACAGCCTAAAAGCAGAAAGCACATTGGTATGACCAGGTAGCTAATGGCTCGAGTTTTGTACCAGATTGGTGGAAAGGATGGCACAATTTTTTGGACCAATCACTGAGCAGAGAAAAGCAGAAGTAATGTAGTGTAATCCTGCAATACATTTGACACTAAAATGAACATTGCTTTTTGAGCTAGAACCTTGCAAGCATATGCATATATGTACCTTTCAGTTTTTTTCCTAAAACAACAATATGATGAACAGAATCATGCTTTAAGCTTACCATTTAAGTGATTTGATCTAAATTAAGCTCCACATTTCATTTCACATAAGCACTTGTGGATTCTGCTACAGCTAAAAGCATGCTAACAACAAAACAAAAGAAGGACACCTGTCAACATCTCTAGGATTTTTAGTCCTTGTTTTTTTGTTGACATATCCTACTATAGTATCATTTCTTTACAATTGTACAATGGTTTTCCAAGACATACCCACAACGACAATGTTTCCATCATAAATTTGTTAGTTATCTGCTACATATTAGATTTATAATAGTTGTAACCTTTGTGTACTTGAAATTGATCAAAGAAAGGAGCACACTTCTCAGCTACTTGATATCTTAAATTAACTTTGATCTCATTTCAAATAATTTTAGCTGCAAGAATATACAGCACTTAAATAAGTAATCATCTAGAGAAGATACATTGTCTCTTCCTATCCAAAAAGAATATTCTCTTAAATCATTTCCCTGGCAAACGAATTAGCACATGAAGAGAGGTTTAAGTTTCTTTTCCTTGTGAGTAGTTTTTCTATCATCCAGTGAATTCCTCATTACCAAGATGTTCTTCATGTTATCAATACTTGTTCAGGCCAAACAACCTCACTTTATACATCTGAGGAAACTTGGGAACCAGAGAGAGAAGAAGAAGGGATAGTGAGTTGAAGACAAAATGAATTCCATCATACTTTGTGTAGAAGCTTGTCACCATAAATCTGAAACCAAGTTTAAGAAAAAAAGCAATTAATAAACCTATAATGATAACTTTTTACATGGTAGCCCCATCCTTTTTTCACAGACTGCTATAATAAGTAATTATTGGATAAGGTTGAGTATGATATTGTGAATTATGAATTACAGTCAACTCGCCAACGGTCTAACTTGCCGACACCAACTTGCCGACATATAAAATCGAGTAGAGACATCGGCGAGTTGATCCTCAATCCAATACACCTTATTAGAAGTTAAACATAAAGAAAACTAAACAATATTTAGTAAAAAAACACTGGTGAACATTGGTGAACATCAAACAGAAGCTTAAACATTGGTGAACATTGGTGAACATCATCAATGACTATAACAGCTTAAGACGCAAATGAGTTATTGTGCGACAACAACACCGTAAAGACTTATCATGTCAATCGCTCAGATTTTTTAAAGAAAACTTGGCTTTCTAGACAAGATCTTTAGTAAAAAGCAATTCTTTTTATTTGCAACAAAACTGTGAATTATCACCACCAAGTTCTGAGTTATTTGCTGAAGCTTAAGGCCAAGGCACACAACACAGGCACATGGTTTGATAATTCATGATATCAGACAAAAACCAAATTCAATTCCAAAAGAACAAATCTGCAAAAGAAGACACATTGCTCTGAGAGAAAATTACACAGACAAGAGGCTCGCAAAATAGGCAGACTTTGATCTTGACACGATAAATGCAATATCCGCTGCAGATCTTGCATTACTTTCATCATGTCAACCTTGCATGCTATTGTGTATTAATAGGTCTTGACTAATTAACCTCTAGGAGAGACTAACATCTAATTTCTATCTATGTTATCACTACTGAATCAAACATCAAGGTTATGTGAATAAAGGAAGTGACCATCCACTCAAGAAGCTCTTGTTTGTTAAAAAACCTCTCCTTGTCAGTAACAAAGGAAATGTATAAAGAACAGTATGGATATTATTCCCATATTCTCCATCTCTTCCCCCTCCCCCCACAAGAATTAAATGGAGAGTCCTTCTTAAAAACTTTGAGACTTTCTGTGAAATTATCAACTTTGAACAGACTCACAAGAAGATTGGCACCAAAGTAAAGAACTTTCTTGTTTCTGTGAATTGTTCGCCATTGTTAAGTTGCTCCCAGTGTGTCAGCCTTCGGGCTTTTCCTTGATCAGCTGTTTGAAATGGTGTTCCCTTCAGGTAATGTAAGAAGATGAACATACTCTGAAACAAGAACAGAGTATTCCACAGTGTTATATCTTGTGCTGTGCTGAAGCAATGTTCAATGTAGTGTACACTAAACTATAGTGCAGAGTGCAAGGTTGCATTGTACAAATGCCTACAATGCCAGACTTTAGACAAGAGAGCTCAAAGATCTTTAGACTTTCTCGTTCTTGTCTTTTTATTTAGTTCAACCTCAATTGGTTGTCACTCCACATAACATTTCCCTAATTGGGCTCCATCCACACCCATACACAAATACTATCCCTAGATACAATCTACATGGCTCACAGCTATATCTGTTCATTCTAAGACCCAACACTGAAGCCCTTCAATAGAGCTTGCAATACAGGGATGCTCTTACTTGAAACAATCACTCAAACAAGGCTGAGCAGGCCACTAGTTCAAACATTTTTTATGCAAGAATATATTGAATAGAATTTAATCTAAAATATTTTAATGTAAATTTAATGAACTCTTTTAAGTAATGAAAGTTATAGTGTTATTTTAAGTTGTTTATTACCCAACGGCTTTATTTTACATGAATTTCTAAGAAGTCAGGAAGAGCCAAGCAGATAGAGAAGCATAGCACTCACAGCCAACCTGTTAAACAGGTATTTTAACTCTTTAACTCCCAAGATCTGACTGTTAATTCTTTCTGCTTGCTGCTATACAATTCCTTCTAAATTGGTTGTAAGAATTTGATGTAAGATCAAGATTTAAAACTTCTTCTTGATAAGTCTTAGTATTCTCATTAACTGTTTGCAAGAAAATGTGTAGATATCATAGGGAGAAGTTACATGTTAGTCACTTCTGGGAGTTAAAGGGTTAAAGTACAAAAAAAACCAACTGTTCAATATCACAGGATATTTGTATCAACCTGCACATCACTTGTACTTTACTTGGTACAGTGGGATATTAAATAAATGTAAAGTAACTGGGAGTGAAAGGGTTTAGATCACATTGCCTACTTTTACAATGTTTTTAAGGGTTTAAACTTTTATTCTGTGTGCCTGAAAATGCCTGGTCCACAATCCATTTTATTCAGATTCAGTTGATTGTTCCACAATAGTATATGATTAATTCAAGTAACAACTTACTATTCATGGACAGTAAATGAAACCTGTATTGATTCAACAACCCAAATTAAAAGGAGATGAAACTCCTGAGGTTGACAGCTTAAAGAGGTCACTCCAGATTAAAACAAATTTGTCTCCATGAACATGAATTTGAGCCAAGGATTATTGTAACACATAGCAAGGTTTCCTTTTATACACTACAAAGCATTACCACATCATTGAATAAAAGATAACTGAAAAGTTAATGGGTACCAATGACAGATTTTAAAAATCATGAAAACTTTTATAACTACAAGCTTAAAAATTCATTAACAAACTAAGCAATTAATCTCACAAGACATCCACAATTTTTCTTCTTAGATATTTCTGCATGATCAATTAAAAAAAATTTTAAAAAAAACCATACATTGATTATCAACGGCTTCACTGAATTTACTTGTCGAAGAAAATATTCTTGCTAACCCTCTCAGAAAAAACAAGATCACTTATTGCAACAATGCTATTATTACTTATTAATAACAGTGGCTAAATGAAACCACTGCATGAAAAATAACAAATCTGATGTTTGTGTAGCAAATTTAGAACATAACTTACAGTTCACAAAACTAAATTGCTATAACACAAAGAAATTTTATTATCTGAAAATTACCCGACGAGCAAAGGCTATAATTACCTTAAACCTGGAGTGATGTGTATTAATTGTAAAGCCATATCAAATTAATTCAGGATAAAGTTTATCTTTGATAGCATCAAGCCCTATACACGGAAATAGTGTTTCCACATGAAAATAAAAAAAAAGCTACATTTATACTTGCTTATGATCATTTTCTCCAAATCGCAATATAACCGTGTTTATTTTCAAACTAAAATCCTAAAGATTCAAAAGATATTTAATAAGCTCAAAATGTCGAAACCCAGTATATGATTTTATGTCTGCTTTTAAGAGTTCTCTGGACCTCATTGATAGAGGATACGATTGGTCCCATTAGTTGAAGTTCGATGCACACATTAAACTCATATGTTTCCTTGTTGCTGTATTTTCGTGACAACTAATTCTCAGTATCATCTTTCGTCACATCAAATCCGTATTACACTTCTTTAAAAAAAACCCAGAAGGTTTTATAATGTTACCTTTTGCCGTCAAATTCACGTATAACATTAAATAATAAATTTCAGCGCGAGACGCTTCAGAAAGAGAAAAGAATCAAAACGTTCAACTCACCAAATTGTGGAAGGTATTTGTCAATGTCCATGCCGTTGGCGTATCAAAGAAGGGAACACTGAGGATAACCAAATGGCCAATCGTGATTAACAACACGTATGTGAACCATGTACCTTTGCTTTCAAGCCACGACTCATTCGGATTATTGATACTGAGGCCTCTCTCAGTCTTCATTTTACGGTCGTTAATCCCACAGATATCGAAATCTGTTCACTTGAGGAAATTTCCTCTACGCAGCAAAGAGTAAACTCGAATCATGACGCTTTAATACGCATGTCATAGAAGGCGCAAAGTTAACCGCTGAACAACATAATGTCTGACCCGACGGGCTCTCAAGTCTAGCCCTGCCGCCCGGGGAGGTGTCCATCAATGAAGTATGAAGCTAGTGGTTAGGGAGAAAGGAAGGGGGCTAAGTAAGGCTGGGGTGGGGAAAGGGGTCAGGTCGGGGTGGGGGAAGAGGCTGCTCAAGTATTCATGTAACCCTTTCATGAGAGAGATATTATTTTTCCTTTTCATATTCATTTTTTCTGCTGCCACATCCTCTTCTGGCCGCGTGAATTCGAACCCGCGGATACACACGGTAGAGCGGCGTTTTGGTTTTTTTTTTGGTTTTTTTTATTTTTTAGTTTGGTTGATTGTTGTTGACATTTATCTGGTTCATAGACATCAAAAATGTTCAGAGGTAGACGACAAATCGAGTCTTTCAACCCTTGACTAAGCCACCTGTAGAGAAAGCGATCATTTTGTGTGTTGGTTCATTGGTTGGTTTATAAAAAAGGCTGACTGTGTCGTTGACTACAGCGGTAAAATTTCCCTGGTCATCTTTTTAACAACTTTCAGAAATTCCCAAGCTACACAAGAATTCAAGAAATATGATTTTTCCAGGCAGAGTGCTGTTTCATATGGCTAATTTACCGCTTAAATGTTTAATCTCATCAAGGCAGTTTTTAACAGCCCCGTTTAAATCTAATAAAGCTGTGCAAATACAAAAAAATTGCTTCTCTTATCTACGACTACATAAAGGATAAAGGAATATATTATTCAATTCGTTAATTCAGAACAATGGAGCGAAAATCTAATTCCCCCTACAAGGAACCGAGCCCTAGGTCTTCGGATTCGGCGCTCCGATGTTCTACAATTAAGCAGCAGAGAATTCTAGGGAGAGCCGGCCGAGCTATTACTGCGTTCAAATGTAACACGTGTCTTAGATACTCCAGATCCGTTCGAATGCATTACAGACAGCAAACTAATCATAGTGGGGAAAATATCAGCAGTGTCACTAATAAATGATTCATCAGCCCAGGGATAAGGCGCAGAGTAAGGCGTGGAAGGGAGAACAGGGTGAATGAAGTGAGGAGTTTTAAATCGGAGTGCAAGGGAAATAAACTTTAGATCTGCGGCATTGCAACGCATTCGAAAGTACGGTTGATGCAAAAGGTCAATGCATGGAGAACCATTATCGAATATCCCTGTTGAATAAGATCACGATCAACTTAAAGGAAAGTTTAATTTCAGCTGAGTAGTGTCGAGAGGTGACTATGTAGCTCTAGGTAACATTTTGCTAAAATATTTTCTCCAGTGTCAAGTGTATTTTACTCTCAGCTCACTCTGAGATAAGACGAATAAAAATGATATGGGGAAGTAGTAGCGATCACGATCACAAAATCGTCCGATTCTCTGTTGATTTTAACGACTTTCAGCAATTTCCAAGCTACACGAGAATTCAAGAAATATGATTTTCCCGTTCATTGGCAATTGCTTGTCAGGGAGGAATATGAACCAAGTTAACCTCGTATTTCCATGTTAGGTTTGCTGAAAAGAAAAACAGGCACAGATTACGACAGGGAAGTAAAGCTGACTAGGAAATTGACACCAGCACGATTCACTTTGCATGAGGTCGAATCTCCTTCCATTTCTGTCAGACATATTCGAGGTAGGTTATCATTTCTTCCTTTATTCACATAAGTTTTACTCTATTTCGTAAGTTGGAATACTCCTGTTATAAAATATGACGATAAAACAAAACATTAGTGTCTAGAACTGTACTGACCTCCGCTGAGCCTTGTCATCAAAAAATCAATTGACAACTGTAAAGTTTGATTTAAATCAAGCAAAGCAGCTCTTATCCAAAGTGCTGTTTCATTTGGCTAATTCACCGCTTAGTGTGTATCCAAAACTGAAAGGAAAGATAAATTTTCAGCTGAGTAGTGTCGAGAGGTGTCTAGGTACCTCCAGGTAACATTTTTCTAAAATATTTTCTTCAGTGTCAGGAGAATTTTGCCATCAGCTGAGTCTAAGACAAGAAAAAGAAAGCTGATACGGGGAAGTAGTTGCGATCACGATCACAAAATCGCCCAATTACTCTGTTAGTTTTAACGACTTTCAGGAATTTCTAGGCTACACAAGAATTCAAGATCAATATAATTTTTCCGTTTATGAGCAAGTCTTTATCAGGGAGGAATATGAACCAAGTTAAACTCATATTTCCATGTTAGGATTGCCGAAAAGAAACATAGGCGCAGATTACGACAGGGAAGTAAATCTGACTAGGAAATTGACACCAGCACGATTCACTTTACATGACTTCGAATCTCCTTCCATCTCTGTCTGACATATATGAGGTAGGTTATCATTTCTTCCTTTATTAACATAAGCTATTCTCTATTTCGTAAGTTGGATTACTACTGCTATAAAATATGGTAATAAAACAAAACATTAGTGTTTAGAACTGTACTGGCCTCCGCTAAGCCTTGTTATTAAGAAATCAGTTGACTACTGTAAAGTTTGATGTAAATCAAGAAAAAGCAGCTCTTATCCCGAGTGCTGTTCCATTTGGCTAATTCGTCGTTTAAATGTTTAGTCTCATCAAGGCGAGTATTAGTAACCTCGTTTAAATCTAATAAAGCTGTGCAAATACAAAAAAATGCTTCTCTTATCTATGACTTTATGAAGGATAAAGAAATTTGTTATTCGTTTATTCATAAGAATGGGGCAAAAATCTACTTTCCCTACAAGGAATCGAGCCCCAGATCTTCGGATTCGGCACTCCGATGTTCTACAACTAAGCTGCAGAGTTCTATGGAGAGCCGGCCGTGCTATTACTGCGTTCAAATGTAACACGTGTCTTTAGACTTTTAGGATTGCCGAAAAGAAACACAGGCACAGATTACGACAGGGAAGTAAAGCTGACTAGGAAATTGACACCAGCACGATTCACTTTGCATGAAGTCGAATCTCCTTCTATCTCTGTCTGACATATAAGAGGTAGGTTATCATTTCTTCCTATATTTAACATAAGTTATTCTCTATTTCGTAAGTTGGGTTACTCCTGCTATAAAATATGGTAATAAAACAAAACATTAGTGTTTAGAACTGTACTGGCCTCTGGTGAGCCTTGTTATTAAGAAATCAGTTGACCACCGTATGGTTTGATGTAAATCAAGAAAAAGCAGCTCTTATACAGAGTGCTGTTTCATTTGGCTAATTCATCGCTTAAATATTTGATCTCATCAAAGCAGGTTTTAACAACCTCGTTTAAATCTAATAAAGCTGTGCAAATACCGAAAAACAATGCTTCTCTTATCTACGACTTTATGACGGATAAAGAAATTTGTTATTCGTTTATTCATAAGAATGGGGCAAAAATCTAATTTCCCTTGAAGGAATCAAGCTCCAGATTTTCGGATTCGGCGCTCCGATGTTCTACAACTAAGCTGCGTAGAATTCTTTGGAGAGCTGGCCGAGCTATTACTGCGTTCCAATAAAACACGTGTCCTGGATACTCTACATCCGTTCGAATGCATTACAGACAGTAAACTAAACACAACGGGAAAATACTAACAGTGTAACTAATAAATGATTCATGAGCCCAGGAGTAAGACGCAGAGTAAGGCGTAGAAGGGAGAACAAATTGAATGAAGTGAGGAGTTTTAAGTCGGAGTGTAAGGGGAATAAACTTTAGATCTGCGCTATTGCAACTCATTCGAAACTACGGTTGATGTAAAAGGTCAACGCATGGAGGATTATCATCAAATATCCTTGTTGAATAAGATCACGATCAACTTAAAGGAAAGTTTAATTTCAGCTGAGTAGTGTCGAGAGGTGACTATGTAGCTCCAGGTAACATTTTGCTAAAATATTTTCTCCAGTGTCAAGTGTATTTTACTCTTAGCTCACTCTGAGATAAGACGAATAAAAATCCTATGGGAAAGTAGTAGCGATCACGATCACAAAATCGTCCGATTCTCTGTTAATTTTAACGACTTTCAATAATTTCCAAGATACACGAGAATTCAAGAAATACGATTTTCCCGTTCATTGACAATTGCTTGTCAGGAAAGAATATGAACCAAGTTAACCTCGTATTTCCATGTTAGGATCGCTAAAAAGGAAAACAGGCGCAGATTCCGACAGGGAAGTAAATCTGACTAGGAAATTGACACCAGCACGATTCACTTGGCATGAAGTCGAATCTTCTTCCATCTCTGTCAGACATATACGAGGTAGGTTATCATTTCTTCCTTTTTTCACATAAGTTATTCTCTATTCCCTAAGTTGGATAACTCCTGCTATAAAATATGATGATAAAACAAAACATTAGTGTTTAGAACTGTACTGACCTCCGCTGAGCCTTGTCATCAAAAAATCAATTGACAACTGTAAAGTTTGATTCAAATCAAGCAAAGCATCTCCTATTTAGAGTGCTGTTTCATTTAGCTAATTTACCACTTAAGTGTTTAATCGTATCGAGGCAAGTTTTAACAGCCTCGTTTACATCTTATAAAGCTGCGTAAATGCTTTTCTTATCAGCAACTATATGACGGATTAAGAAATATGGTATTCGTTTATTCAAAAGAATGAGGCGAAAATCTAATTTCCCTACAATGAATCGAGCCCTACATCTTCGGATTCGGCGTTCTGATGTTCTCTAACTAAGTTGCAGCAAATTCTATGGAGAGCCGGCCGAGCCATTACTGCGTTCTAATGTAACACGCGACTTAGATACACTAGATCCGTTGGTGAATGCATTACAGACGGCAAACTAAACACAACGGGAAATTAATAACAGTGTAACTAACAAATGACACATGAGCCCAGGGGAAAGGCGCAGGGTTAGGCGTGGAAGGGAGAACAGGATGAATGAAGCGAGGAGTTTCAGTCAGAGTGCAAGGGGAATATTAAAGTTTTAGATCTGCACCATGGCAACGCATTCGAAAGTACGGTTGATGTAAAAGGTCAATGCATGGAGAACCATTATCGAATATCCCTGTTGAATAAGATCCCAATCAACTTAAAGGAAAGTCTATTTTTCCAGCTGAATAGTGTCGAGAGGTGTCTAAACAGCCCCAGGTAACATTTTGTTTAAATATTTTCTTCAGTGTTAAGAGAAATTTGCCTTCAGCTCACTCTGAGACAAGAAAAAGAAACCTGATATGGGAAAGTAGTCGCGATCACGATCACAAAATCGTCCAATTTCTCTGTTAATTTTAACGAATTTTAGCAATTTCTAAGCTACACGAGAATTCAAGGGATATGATTTTCCCGTTCATTGGCAAGTCTTTGTCAGGGAGGAATGTGAACCGGGTTAAACTCGTATTTCTGTGTTAGGATTGCTGAAAAGAAACACAGGCACAGATTTCAACAATACCGAAGTAAAGCTGACTGGGAAATTGACACAAGCGCGATTTACTTTTCATGAAGTCGAATCTCCTTCGATCTCTGTCTGACATATTCGAGGTAGGTTATCATTTCTTCCTTAATTCACATAAGGTATTCTCTATTTCGTAAGTTGGATTACTCCTGCTATAAAATATGACGATAAAACAAAACATTAGTGTTAAGAACTGTACTGACCTCCGCTGAGCCTTGTCATAAGGAAATAGTTGACCACTATATGGCTTGATGCAAATCAAGCAAAGCAGTTCTTATCCAGAGTGCTGTTTCATTTGGCTAATTTACCGGTTAAATGTTTAATCTCATCAAGGCAGGTTTTAACAGCCTTGTTTAAATCTAATAAAGCTGTGCGAATACAAAACAATGCTTCTCTTATTTACAACTACATGAAGGATAAAGAAATAAGTTATTCGCTAATTTGAAGGAATGGGGCGAAAATCAAAGTCTCCCACAAGGAATCGAGCCCCAGATCTTCGTATTCGGCACTCCGATGTTCTACAACTAAGCTGCAGAGAATTCTATGTAGAACCGGCCGAATGTAACACGCTTGGATACTCTAGATCCATTAGAGTGCATTACAGACAGCAAACTAAACACAGCGGGGAAAATAATAACATTGTAACTAATAAATGACTCATGAGCCCAGGGGTAAGACGCAGAGTTAGGCGTGGAAGGGAGAACAGGGTAAATGAAGCAAGGGGTTTTAGGTCGGAGTGCAAGGGGAATATTAAAGTTTTAGATCTGCTGCATTGCAACGCATTCGAAAGTACGGTTGATGTAAAAGGTCAATGCATGGAGAACCATTATCGAATATCCCTGTTGAATAAGATCCCAATCAACTTAAAGGAAAGTCTATTTTTCCAGCTGAATAGTGTCGAGAGGTGTCTAAACAGCCCCAGGTAACATTTTGTTTAAATATTTTCTTTAGTGTTAAGAGAAATTTGCCTTCAGCTCACTCTGAGACAAGAAAAAGAAACCTGATATGGGAAAGTAGTCGCGATCACGATCACAAAATCGTCCAATTTCTCTGTTAATTTTAACGAATTTTAGCAATTTCTAAGCTACACGAGAATTCAAGGGAAATGATTTTCCCGTTCATTGGCAAGTCTTTGTCAGGGAGGAATGTGAACCGGGTTAAACTCGTATTTCCGTGTTAGGATTGCTGAAAAGAAACACAGGCACAGATTTCAACAATACCGAAGTAAAGCTGACTGGGAAATTGACGCAAGCACGATTTACTTTTCATGAAGTCGAATCTCCTTCGATCTCTGTCTGACATATTCGAGGTAGGTTATCATTTCTTCCTTAATTCACATAAGGTATTCTCTATTTCGTAAGTTGGATTACTCCTGCTATAAAATATGACGATAAAACAAAACATTAGTGTTAAGAACTGTACTGACCTCCGCTGAGCCTTGTCATAAGGAAATAGTTGACCACTATATGGCTTGATGCAAATCAAGCAAAGCAGTTCTTATCCAGAGTGCTGTTTCATTTGGCTAATTTACCGGTTAATGTTTAATCTCATCAAGGCAGGTTTTAACAGCCTTGTTTAAATCTAATAAAGCTGTGCGAATACAAAACAATGCTTCTCTTATTTACAACTACATGAAGGATAAAGAAATAAGTTATTCGCTAATTTGAAGGAATGGGGCGAAAATCAAAGTCTCCCACAAGGAATCGAGCCCCAGATCTTCGTATTCGGCACTCCGATGTTCTACAACTAAGCTGCAGAGAATTCTATGTAGAACCGGCCGAATGTAACACGCTTGGATACTCTAGATCCATTAGAGCGCATTACAGACAGCAAACTAAACACAGCGGGGAAAATAATAACATTGTAACTAATAAATGACTCATGAGCCCAGGGGTAAGACGCAGAGTTAGGCGTGGAAGGGAGAACAGGGTAAATGAAGCAAGGGGTTTTAGGTCGGAGTGCAAGGGGAATATTAAAGTTTTAGATCTGCTGCATTGCAACGCATTCGAAAGTACGGTTGATGCAAAAGGTCAATGCATGGAGAACCATTATCGAATATCCCTGTTGAATAAGATCCCAATCAACTTAAAGGAAAGTCTATTTTTCCAGCTGAATAGTGTCGAGAGGTGTCTAAACAGCCCCAGGTAACATTTTGTTTAAATATTTTCTTTAGTGTTAAGAGAAATTTGCCTTCAGCTCACTCTGAGACAAGAAAAAGAAACCTGATATGGGAAAGTAGTCGCGATCACGATCACAAAATCGTCCAATTTCTCTGTTAATTTTAACGAATTTTAGCAATTTCTAAGCTACACGAGAATTCAAGGGATATGATTTTCCTGTTCATTGGCAAGTCTTTGTCAGGGAGGAATGTGAACCGGGTTAAACTCGTATTTCCGTGTTAGGATTGCTGAAAAGAAACACAGGCACAGATTTCAACAATACCGAAGTAAAGCTGACTGGGAAATTGACACAAGCACGATTTACTTTTCATGAAGTCGAATCTCCTTCGATCTCTGTCTGACATATTCGAGGTAGGTTATCATTTCTTCCTTAATTCACATAAGGTATTCTCTATTTCGGAAGTTGGATTACTCCTGCTATAAAATAAGACGATAAAACAAAACATTAGTGTTAAGAACTGTACTGACCTCCGCTGAGCCTTGTCATAAGGAAATAGTTGACCACTATATGGCTTGATGCAAATCAAGCAAAGCAGTTCTTATCCAGAGTGCTGTTTCATTTGGCTAATTTACCGGTTAATGTTTAATCTCATCAAGGCAGGTTTTAACAGCCTTGTTTAAATCTAATAAAGCTGTGCGAATACAAAACAATGCTTCTCTTATTTACAACTACATGAAGGATAAAGAAATAAGTTATTCGCTAATTTGAAGGAATGGGGCGAAAATCAAAGTCTCCCACAAGGAATCGAGCCCCAGATCTTCGTATTCGGCACTCCGATGTTCTACAACTAAGCTGCAGAGAATTCTATGTAGAACCGGCCGAATGTAACACGCTTGGATACTCTAGATCCATTAGAGTGCATTACAGACAGCAAACTAAACACAGCGGGGAAAATAATAACATTGTAACTAACTAGATATAGCTATCGCTAAGTGCCAACGAGCAACCAATGAAAAGAAATACTCATTGGTAATGTTAAAAAATGGAGTCATGTTTTGTGGGTGTAAATTTTAGTAGTGAAGTATTCCAACCAACGTGAAATGTTTTAAATTTTGAGGTGAATATGGTGAAAACGAAAATAAGTTTCTTGATTTTACATTATTGCAATACAAAAGTTTGTGCTGCAATGATAGCCAAGTGTGTTTTCTTCCCTTTCTAAAAATTATGTGTAAAACTGAATAATATAAGGTAATACAGAACAAAAATGAACCCACAATAACAACTCTTAATTGTATATGAACTGTAACAAAATATTTCTGAATCACTAAATAAATTTTTTTTCTTCACAGTCATTCAACTGGGATAGCACAACTATTAAGTTTGGGATGCATGGGCCAGTCTGAGATAACACATGCTACATCAGTATTAAACAATAATTTTAATTTTCCAACATCGTTCGAGACAGTCACACAATGTTATTGGACTGTTCACACAGAATGAACTAATCAGAGTTTACTTCTGGACGTTTAAAGGAAAGAACTTTGTATTGTTCATTGTTTGGACATTGTTGACCAAACAAATATTTTCTTCGAGACAATATAAGATAAACTTCAACGTCATTAATTTTATCCTTAATTAAGGGATGTATAGAGCGAAATCTCTAACACATGAATCTAAACTGTAACAAAATATTTTTCATTCACTGCTATAACGTTCCTCAAAGTCAAACACCTGGGAAAGCAGATGCACATCTTTTAGCTTTGGGATGCATGGGCCAGTCCGAGACTACACATGTTACATCAGTATTAAACAACAATTTTAACTTTCCAACGTCCTCCGAGACAATCACACAAGGGTATTGGACTGTTCACAGACAATGTGCTAATCAGAGTGTACTTCTGGACGTTTAAAGGAGAGAATCTTTGTAATGTTTGTTGTTTGGACATTGTATACCAAACAAATGTCTTCCAGAGACATAAGATAAACTTCAATGTCATCGATTTTATCCTTTAGGGATAAGGTTGATCCTGCCAGCAGGGTTTCTAGTTGCTCAGTGAAAGCCTGGATCCACATCTCTTTGCTGTTGTCACCTTCTGATTCAGTGATAGAAATTTTTGCTGAAGCCTGCAGTTTGATATCTCTTGATCTTTGACGTGTACCACAGTTTTCACACTTCAGTGTGGTGCAAGTGAATGATTCAACATCATTTAAGCGTTTTTTGCACACTTTGCAGGAACAAAAGATGTTTAGCTTTGACACCAAATTGAATTCTGAAGCAGTTACTTCCTTTTCTGGACTTTTGAGCATATCTGGTCCAGTCAGGGTTTGCACTGTTTGTGTTGTAAGGTTTGCTGTTGTGTTTGGCGATGTACTTAGATACGTCGACCCTTGGAAATTCTTTACTGTCAGGTTGGTGAAGCAGTATGATTTACCCGTTGTCAAGGTATGGACAAGGGGTTCCCAAATGTGAATCATTGATGACCCAGTGTTGTCCTCCAACACGCAATCTTCCTTCACATGGGCTGTTGCTCCAGTGGATCTGAGAACAACAGCCTTGAGGTCTTCTTTTTTTCCATAGTGAGGGAACCACTGACATTGACTTTTTGGTTTGGGTGCAAACCTTTTACATTCGACACAGTAACTGACTTTGCAGCACTTGATTCACCTGCACTTTCAAGCTTTGGCTGCTCGGTGTAACAAAATGATACATCTGACAAGCCTGCTTTATGTACGGCAGATTGTTGATTGAAAATACATTCATTGTCGTCTTTTACAATAATGTTCTTGAGCTGTACTGGGCTCTTGGTTTCCTCAAAATGTTTTAAGGAATCATGGACATAGAGATTAAATCCTACCAAACGTTTCACTTTAGTGGGTGAAGTTTGAAGCTGAAATTCATACCACTGATGCTTTGACTTAAGGGACTTCTTAATTGGACTGAGGTTGTGAATAAACCCATGGTCGTTTGCTGCAAGTAAACAATTAAGATGGTTAGAATATGCATAAGAGAATTATGTTTGATTGGCATGGTAATGTCAAATAATTTGGGGGGTTGGATATTTCAAGAAAATGACACATTGCAGGTAAAGCTTGAAATATAAAGGAGTCAGCATGTACTCATTATTATGAGTGAACAACAATAACCAAGAACAAAATTGCCTCTACCTTTCACAGATACAGTAGTCAGGTGCTAGGGGCTGAGTTGCTGCAAAATAACAGGGACACCAGTTGTCCCTGTTTAGTCTTAGACTACTTAAAGGGGCATGAATTCTGTATTTATAAGATAAAATAATTATATTCAGTACTTACAATAAGTCCTTTTGCTTGCCATCGTCTGCAACAAAAAATGTTTTACAAATTAAAAATACATCACACATAGATACATATTTTATTGACTTTCCTCCAGAGGCTTTTCAAAGACAATAATTAAATCAAGTCAAACAAAAAGAAAAACAGGGGAACACAATAATTGGTATTTGGATGTCTTGTTTAGCTTTTGGAGAACATGCTTACTGTATTAAGTCAAAGTTACTCATGATGACCATTTTTAGAAGCATTTAGAGATAAAGAATCAAGTCTCTTTTCTTCAATTAACCTATATTTCAAAAATTTGATTTTTGTAAGCTTGCAACCTTTCAAATGTCATTGGCTCAATTATGAGATCTTGGAGTCTTTTTACTCTACTAAGAGCCACATATGTCATACCAGGTGAATTCTCTGAAGGGCCGAGATCTATCCATGCTTTTTTTTAAGAGTCAGACCTTGGCTTTTGTGAATAGTCATAGCCCATGCTAGCTTTAAAGGAAGTTGTTGTCTTTCACATGTGTGACCTATGTTTTGTGAAATTTGGGTTATTGGACAAATTGGAACGCATCTTGGAACACTTGCAGTTAAAGAAGGTCCATTATATTGTTCATCAAACTGTACAAGAACACAAATAGGCAGGGCTGGAGGAGTTTGCCCATCAGCATATACAAAATCTAATACAGTTCCTAGTGCACCATTACAAAGACCAACTTCTGTCCACATGTTCATAGTGAGCATAACTCTAGCACCTTTAGCTAAATATATGACAGGTTCTAATCCTCCCATTTCATCAGAGCTAAGTGTTTGAGCACCACCAGAATGACGGGCTTTGATTGTTGCTATTGGCTGGTTTAGATTTTTAATTTGATCAAGTTCATTTCTGCAACTTTTGCCTTCAGATAGGATAGCCTTACAGATGATGTTAGGAATTCTTCAATATTTGTTACATTTTCAGGAGTTCTAGATAACAATGTCTGCCAATCTGCCAAAGTGGATTCTCCATTTCGTGCTCTAATGAGGAGATCTCTAAAGCAGCTGTGGGCATTAGTTTTGCCATCAACTCTATGATTCACTGACAATGTGACGACTTGTTTGAACTCTTTATATATGAGGTGACCCTGAATCTGTTTTTTCTGATTTTGGCAAAGAATGGAAAAGTGGTTTATCACCAACTGGGGATAACTGTGCTATATCACCGACCAGAATAACAGAAAGACCACCAAAAGCTTGATCAGCTAAACCTGTAGCTTGCCTGCATCTACAATCTATCCACCCAAATAAGCTCTGGCCAACAAATGAATATTCGTCTATAATCAAATACTGAATGTTTTGTAAATTAGTTTGAAGTTGTTGCAAAGCTATTCCTTTCAATTCAAGAGTCTTTTTGAACCAATTGGTAGTTTGAGGAAAGAATGCAGTGTTACACCCTTGACATTAAAAGAGGCCTTTCCAGTATATGCTAGTACTTGACATTTTTCCTTAAGAACATTTCTTACAGCATCAATAACATAGCTTTTTCCTGAACCTGCAATTCCTTTAACAAGTAGATGCAAAGGCAGTTCATTACTGCTGTTGAAGTGATTTAGAATGATATGGTATGCCAACAATTGATCGCTACTAAAACTTGAAATATCTATTACTCTTGATGATATGTGCCAACTTGGTTCATTTTTATTTTTCTGAGTATTTAACCAAGAAGTAACAGAAAGTAGATCAACATCGTCAAAATGTTCACTAACATTGTGCCAATATCCTTCAGGAGCTAACATCGAGAGTTATATTCAGTATCTGTGCTCAACTCCTGTAAATTCAGTTCTGACATAAACATCCACTCTTCCTTTTCTTCCTCTATAATTTCCATGTTTTCATTTTCATTTTCCAGATTAATGGCTGCTTTTAAGCTGCTCAATTGCAATTCCCAGTCAGGAACACTGTTCTTCCCACAATCACTACACAAAAAGTTCATCCAACATGCTTTATAAGTTTCATCACACTGTTCAAGATTGTCCCATGCATTGTCTGCTACATGTTGCCAAGGTTTATATTTTAGCAGTTGATATTTACAGAACAGCCCATACTGCTGATTTTGAGGATTTGAAGAAAATTTGGGATAAGTTTTAACTATTACAGCTTGCTTCCTTTTCTCCAGTTTTGAGTTTTTGCTTACAAATGTGGAGGTAAATTGCAAAAATTATATGTCAGTATGTCTGGAAATGTCTTAATAAACTTCTCTCGTTCAGCATAAATATCCAACATGGATGGGATTGTACAAAAATCCTTATTTTTGGACACCTGTACTCTTCGTGAACCATCAAGAGATGTATTTATTACTTCATGTGTTGCACTTACACATTTGAGTGAGAGTAAATGATGCATAACTTCTTGGATTGAATAATCTCGTTGTCCGACACTTTTGATCATAATTTGCTTCAAAATGTTATGAATGTCACTTTAGTCCGATGCTTTACTAATTACATTGGTGAATGCATTATTTAGAACTGAAGAAGCTTTTTCTCCTTTTGATGTGTATTTCACAAGATATTCCAAACATGCCACATAATCTATAATAATTTGAATATCACAATTTGCCCTCCATCCTTGGAGCTGCAGTGGTTGGTGACGATTTAATCTTGAATCATTTTGCTTAGTAACAATGGTTGCTCTATACTTGGTTTGGCCTGATTTAGTGTTTATTGGTTCAAAATCTATTCTTGTCTTTGGGCAATTTTCAAAAGGAAATTTGAATCTACAGGCTAATTCATTTTTGCTAGTTTCCCTTAGACAATACTTAGTACTGCACATTGTATGTCTCTCAACAGAGTTTAATAAATTCACATAGTCTTCCTCTTTTTTTTTTTGCCATTCAAAGACAGATACTGGGTTTGACATGGATGAGAATCTGGTTTGGACCACCCTTCTTCTGGGGAACATGGATTCCAAGTTGTTAGTATAAAGTCAACATACTGACAAACAACAGACTCTGCTTGTATACCTTGATTTATCTTAGTCTCCAGTTCTAATATTTCTTCTTCTGACAAATTTCCTTTGTTCTCATTGATATGCTTTGATGCTAAAAAACCTTGCAATGCAATTTCTGTCAGTTCAAAAAAGTCCTGGATCATTTTTCAATTTTGCAACTCCATGACAATGAATTGAACCTCTCTGAACTGCATACTCATATCTGTACCAATGCCAAGAAGCCCCTAATGACTCTTTTAACCAAAACTTGACAAAACGATCTGTTCGCTCAGTAAAAAACCAATCCAAGATATGTGGATTTTGAAGAACATTTTGCTGCCTGATTGCTGGTTGAAGTGTTTCAGAGTGAGGGTCACAAAAGAGTTCATGAAATTCAGGCCAATGGTACTCAGCACAAGATAAAGTAAAAAAAATATAGTAGGCGGTCCTACTTGAGCAATGGTTGCTCGCAAATCCTCTTTAGCTTTGTGCCAATAGCTATTGCTACCAGTAACATTTTTAGCATAATGCATAAGTTTTGACATTAAAGTAGAATACGTATTTGTTTGAAGCATTTGTTGAAGTTGTTCTACAGTTAACTTAGCTTCACCAGGGTTTTGCTTTAAAAAATATTTCCCTGACTAAGGAGTCTGTGCCTCTGAATCATGTTGAATGCCCAATAAGCAAACCGTGGGTGACTTGCAAACCTATAAGCCCATTTACCATTATTATATTCAGCAAATTTAATCAAATGTTTTATTTTATCTCCAAGGGTCACATCACGCATTGTAGCACTGTTAGTAGGATCTCCTTTACCATCTGGGAACAAAGTAGGAAATGCCATAGTAGCTAAATATTCAATTTTAAACTCATTGAGAGGACTTGAATTCCTATTAGGCCAATTGATTTTACTGTTTTGTAATAACTCATCTTTTATCAGCTGCTTCTGTGGCTTTAGTTGTACAGGGTTAAGAATTGTGCTACTCAATTCTGTGTCTTCATTGAAAGGTATTTCATCAAGAGGACCTCTGTCTGGATCAATTTCATCATCTTTACTGTTCTCAGTACAATAAATTTTACGCAGCTCAGTGGGAATGCCATCAGAAGGCAAGAAAGCCAACAATTCATAATCAATAGTGATATCCTTATATACAGGGTTATGTTGAACTAACCAGTGCAGAGCACAGCTGACCTTTTCACGTCTCACAGTGAGATCTTTATAAGTATTATCTTTGCCTTTGACTGACACAACTATTACTGGCATTTCACTTAGGTTTCTTGGCAATGAATTGGCTAACTCTTGGATATCTTGAGAGAAGTTAATACAATGACCTTTATATGCTTTTTGTCCACCTGGTTTTGTATAAACAGAAATTACTGGGAAAACACGAGCTATTAACATTTCCTCTAATTGCGTTAAACCTTGCAATTCATTTGGGACTTGTGAAGGAATCATTCCATTCTGAGATGAAAATTTTTTCACTCCATTCTTGTCACGTGAACATCTTGAACACATATAAGGAGATCTCTTTTTGCCTTTTGATGATAATGGCCATGCCTCATGGCAAACTTCACACATATAAATTTTGAATTTAAGTGAATTATGAAAGTCTTCCATGTTTTTGATAGCCCACTTCTGTACATGAATTGGTCCAGTGTTTATACTGTCAAATTGAGATAAATATGCTTCTTTGTCAACATTATGCAGTGGTTTATCTACTTTTTGCCATGCTGTAAATTTTCCTACTGGTTTAATTACATCAAATGTATTGTCTTCCTTTTTCTGTCTAGAGTTCCACTTAAATTGCACAGTTTGTTTTATCAATTGTGCTTGCTTTTCCTCCCCTGTCTCATAATCCTTTATTTTCCTTCTGTATGCCCTCATATATTCTTTTTGGTTTTTTTGTCTAGAAAGTTTTTCACTCTCTGTCTCTTTGGCTTTTTTAGCTGTAAATTTTCCTACTGGTTTAATTACATCAAATGTATTGTCTTCCTTTTTCTGTCTAGAGTTCCACTTTTGCACATTTTGTTTTATCAATCGTGCTTGCTTCTCCTCCCCTGTCTCATAATCCTTTATTTTCCTTCTGTATGCCCTCATATATTCTTTTTGCTTTTTTTGTCTAGAAAGTTTTTCACTCTCTGTCTCTTTGGCTTTTTTAGCAATTTTGTAATTCTTCAAATGTGGATTTACTACATTTAAGTTCAGCTTTCTTTTTCTATCTATCAATTTGTCAGTATTTGTTTCTGGTCTTTGTCGTTTTCTGGGTGTGCAAACTTCTTTCCCAAAATCATCACAGGCTTGGCGTTCTTTATCCTCTAATTTTGAATAAGAATGGTCTGGCATTAATGTACAGGAATCAATGCCTTGATGTATATTAATAATGTTATCAACAGAGCTTTCATAAACAGCAAAATACCATCCATTGGCGTAAACATTCAAAATATCTTGAAATGTAGCATATTGCTGAACTGCACTACAGAGATCATCATAATAAAACCAATAACGACCATTGTTTATAGCAATAGTGAAATGGTGGCTTGCACACCGCACAACAGCTTTTAATAAGTAAAATGTACCTAAGAGTTCCATACTTGCTGGTAGAACAGTTTGACCAAAAGAAATTGATGATAATTCAATGTGTAAAAATTTTGGCATGGTAACAAAATGTTGCAAACCTGAAATATCACCAGAATGCCTTTGACATGCATCACAAAAAAAGTGGGCTGCTATTAGGCAAAGCAGCTTCTGAAACACAGTTTTCAAATTCAGTGGGCAGAATATTTGGACAAGTAATATACAAGACAATAGTGCTAGTAGTTTTCAATATTTGATTGTTACACAGGGTGCAGCAAGTCTGATTACATTGTTGAATAAGAAATAATGATTTCAAATCACTGGTTAAATCCCCAAATGCTTGCATGGTAAATATGTCACTAAAAACAGCATTTGCAGTCATTGAAGAAAATGATGGGCAACGACCTCTGATCAGTGACCATATAGGCTCTCGCACAACATCAACAGCACCAACAATTGCCCTTTGATTGCACGCCTCAGAGATAACTTGAAAAAAATCATTGCATGTAATGTTTTGAAGATGATTGCGAAAAACAAAATAACATAGCTCAAGAAAGCAATCAACTGCACAAGAAAACTTCCCTACGTTGGTCAAACAATAATTACGAAAGTGATCTCTTACATTTGATCCTTCACACATGTATGTAGAATTACTATCAGTGCTATTACATATTGCATTGCGTTTTTCTTCCAACACTTCTGAATTTATGTTCCCATTCACAATGTGTGCCTCCTTGTTTGAAATAACGAAGGGATTAAAACTACCATTAGAAGGATAAGCTATTCGCCTTGACAAGTATCTCCCCCTAAATCTGAAATAGATCATGCTGCATTTTGGGCA